TGAAGATTGACATCTCAAAGTATAGGGGGGTCGAAGAAGACTCCCTCTTGAGATGGTTCGTCGAATTGGATGACGCCATAAGGGCGCGTCGCATCGACGACGGGGATATGCAAGTTGCATTTGCCCAGTCAAATCTGGCAGGACGTGCCAAGACTTGGGCACTGGGGCTCAAGCTGCACGACCCATACGCGTTTGGGTCGTTGGAAGTCTTCAAGTCGCGGCTCAGACAAACGTTTGAACCGCCTAGAGCTGAGTTCAGAGCTCGAACCGAACTCTTGAAGCTCAAACAGGGTAAGCGTGATGTGCACGCTTACGCTCAACATATAAGACATCTCACGAGTTGTATAAGTTCCAATCCGGTGGATGAACACACGTTGGTTTCGGTGTTCATGCAGGGTCTTGCGGATGGTCCCGTCAAGACTCACCTGTTCCGGCTTGAACTAGATTCACTAGAACAAGCCATTTCAATTGCGGAGCAGGAAGACTTCAGTCTGAGACAGGCTCGCGCCAGCTCGACATCATATCGTCAACCGAGACGATATGACAACGGAGGTCCAGAGCCGATGGAACTCTGTTATGTAGAGAGCGAGAAGGCTCGCTCTACAGGCTACAAGAAGTTGCAGAAATGCAACAGATGTCAAAAGACAGGACACTACGCTTACGAGTGTAGTGCCCCTCGTCCAGTGTCTCGCGACACTGGGCGTAGTGACCGTCCACCCATGAGAAAGGGGCAGGGACGTGGGTCCGCAGTTGGTGCAAAGACGCAACAACGGGATGGACCACCAAAAAACGGACAGGATCAGTAGGTGCGGAGCACCCTACTGATCCAGCAACGTCAAGAGAATTTGTGGGCCTCTTGATGAAGGTTGCTCCCAACACACAAACGTTGTGCGTTGCTGCTCTAGGTAATGAGATCTCAATCATTACGTTGAAACTCGAAGTGACGAATAAGTTGTCCCTTCGAGCTCTAGTCGATTGTGGGGCGTCCAACAATTTTGTGCGATGCCAATCGCTAGAAGATGGTCACTTTAAGTTTAGTGAATGTGACACACATCCTACGAGGATGACGGTACGTCTTGCGACAGGCGCATCCGTAACCGTCATGAAGCGTAAAGTGAAGATCCACTATACGCTAGAAGATACCCAATATGACGATGAATTTATCGTATTGGATTTGGATAACAAATTTGATATCATCCTTGGAATACCGTGGCTCAGAAGGTACGAACCACGGATAAACTGGCAACATCGAACAGTAACGATGCCTGCCGCTTGTTCATCAGATGGCCATCTAATGAACGCTTTGGAGCGTCCACAAGCGTGTGGATGTAATACGAGTGAGTGCGATGGCCTCACTTGTGGTACGGTCGTTAGTACGACTGCACAAAACCTTAGCGTAACAAACGGTTACACTTCGGAGCAAAGTTCCGGCGGCTGTGAGGAAACACAGGCTGCGCCGAAGGTCCACCAATCGAATAAGTGGAGTGGACCGGGACAAAGATGTATCCCTAGCGGGGAACATCTAGAAGAGAAACAATCGATCGTTCAGGTTAAGCGAAACGATAATCCTAGATCGACTGGAGAGTCTTTCGTAGAGGATCTCGCTGTGGTTGCGCAACCCCAGCTAGAGGAAGTTAAAGAAATAGGTCCCGGTATTACAGATACGGTGGAAATAAGATCCCCGAAACCCGAGGGAATAAGTCCCCGGGAAGCTGAATGAATAAGTCCTTCGAGGCCTGAGGGAATAAGTCCCCAGGAAATGACAGAGACATTGAATGTCCTAGTCAATCACGGATCAAGTGTAGGCGCTTATACACTCGATCTGATTGCGCCTCCGGAGTAGACTTCGGAGATCACTCAGTTGCCAACGCTCGAACATAAAAGGTTCTTGCGTGATCTGCGTAGTGGCAAAGTCAAGCAGATCTGCATACTCGTCACTGACGACGACTGTGTAGCCGACATAAGGTCAGCAACAGTGTTTACTGAGAACGAGAGAGTTCTCAGTAGTTCATCTATGGACGAGAGTGTCCTAGATGAAAAGACACGAATTGAGCGATATGACTCCCAATCGTGGCAATCGCTCAAGACAAATCCTCTCTATGAAGATTTGATTAAATTCAAGGTTGTATTCCCTGAAACTGTTTCGTGCGAGTTACCGAAGGATAAAGGTATTCGACACGAGGTCGAGCTTAAACCAGGCTCGAAGTACTGTGTCATGAAGAAGTGGCCACTGCCTCGTGAACAAGTACTTGCGATCGACAAGTTCTTTGTCGATCGTTTAGCTGCGGGCCATGTGAGGGAATCAACTTCCCCACGTATATCTCCAACCTTCTGTGTGCGAAAAGCAACAGGAGGGTGGCGGATAGTGCATGCATTAAACAAGTTGAATGCTGCAACGGTACCGGCTCAGACGCCGATACCGAGGAAGGACGTAATCATTGATGGTATGTCAAAGAGTACCATCTTTTCGTCCATGGATTTGATGGATGGCTTCTATCAAATCCTTATGCGAGAACGGGATATACCCTATACCGCAGTTAGCACGCCCAGCGGCATGCTCTGGAAGTGGCTAGTAATGCCACAAGGGCTCAGTAATGCCCCTGCCACGTTCAACAGATGTGTATCACATCTGTTGAGACCAGTACGAAAATTCGCGCCAAGTTATTTCGATGACGTATTCATCCATAGTCGGGCTATGGATGGAAATTCGGATGTTGAGGTTCACAGATACCACGTCCGACAAGTTCTTACAATCATGCGAAAGCACCAATTGTATGCAAATCTCAAGAAGTGTATATTTGCAGCAAGCGAAATACCACTTCTTGGGTGCATCGTTGGTAAGAACGGTGTACGTCCTGATCCCAAAAAGATCAAGGCGATAACCGACTGGCCTGTGCCGGTTGATGTCAAAGGTCGTCAAAAATTCCTTGGGCTAGCGGCGTATTTGCATAAGTATTCACGCAATTACGCCGAGATGACTGTACACCTCTCTCGTTTGTTGAAAAAGAACGAGAAGTGGTTATGGAACGCTGAATGTCAGTGCTCCTTTGATGGTATCAAGCAGAGCTTGATACAATCCCCAGTCCTAGCATTAGCCGATCAGGACAGGCCATTTCATGTGGTCTATGATGCCAGCGATTTCGCAATCGGCTGTGCATTAATGCAGTACGATCTTGAAGGCGTTGAACGCGTCGTCTGCTATCAGTCGCGTCAGCTGCAATCATCTGAGCGGAACTATCCAGTGCATGACAAGGAACAACTCGCCATGAAGTATGCACTCGCGAAGGTCAGAGTCTATCTCTTTGGAGATAGACCCTTCATTGTTTACACTGACCATGCGTCATTACGCACGGCAGTGAACAGCCCGCACCTTTCACAACGAATGGCGCGGTTGTTGTCATTATTTGCTGAATACAACTTTACGGTCGAGTACAAACCAGGACGACTCAATGTCGTCGCTGATTCACTCTCACGTCGGCCCGACTTTGAACCAGTCGTGAAACCCAACAGTGGGACAGTCACTATTGCGGTTATGACGTCCTCAGTCCCATCTACAACGTTGTATGATGATGTGAGGCGGGCATACGCCCAAGATGGTGAGATTGTGAAGTTGTTGACACATCTCTCACAGCCATCTCGAGAATCGTTGAAACGATTATCGTCTGCGTATCGATCTGCATCAGATCAATACACTACTCGCAACGGGTTACTGTATTATACAGCCGTTACTGGTGACACACCACGTGTTGTCATTCCAGATGATACTGATCTGCGTTTGCGGATCATGTTCGAGTATCACGATGCTCCTATAGGAGGACACCGTGGCCGGGAGAAAACATATGTCACGGTGAGTCGAGACTTTTACTGGCCCCGCCAGTATCAGTTTGTGCGAAAGTATGTTCGCGCATGCGAGATCTGTCAACGAGTGAAGTCAAGTCCTTCACTGCGTGCACCTTTACAGCCTCTACCGGTTCCGGCTGAGTGCTGGGAATCCATCTCAATGGATTTCGTCTTCGGGTTACCCAAAGACGCACGCGGGAACACGGGTATTCTCGTATTTGTTGACAGATTCAGCAAAATGGTACACCTTGTGGTTGTACCAGAGACAATCACGGCAAGTGGCTGTGCTTGTGTCTTTATTGACACCATCTTCCGACTTCATGGGTTGCCCCGTGAACTCGTATCAGACAGAGATCCACGATTCACTGCTGATTTCTGGCGTTCCGTGTTCAAATCACTCGGAACGCGCTTGAAAATGTCTACATCTGATCATCCAGAGTCATATGGTCAGACGGAACGAGCCAATCGTGTCCTTGAAGAGATACTTCGAGGATATGCACACTCCTTTAAGAGTTGGAGTGAGTTTTTGCCAATGGTAGAGTTTGCCATTAACAACTCGGTGCATGCGTCCACGACACATACACCGTTTTACGTGAATGGCTTGCGCCATCCGCGTTTACCCACCTTACTAGAGTGTAACTCTGGTTTAAGGGGGGGAGGGACTCGCGCGAGCAAAAACCGATTTGGTTCACGCTCATCACGCTCTGACACAGAGGTCATTGCGTGTGATGCCGATATCGATAACATCGATATCGAAGAAGATGATGCTAGTGAGAGTGCGGAAGCCCTCACTGAAGAAAAGTTTGATGTTGCTGCAGTGCACTCACAGCGCACTGAAGATAACGAGTCATCAGATGAGTTCATACTGGCTCGTGAAACGGTAGTCCGTTTTGTGCAAGACTCCATCGCCGAAGCGGTGGATAAGCAAAAGCAAAACGCTGACAAGAATGGAAGGGCAAACACTCTTTTATTTCATAAAGGTGACTTAGTCCTACTGTCTACGGTTAATCTACCAAAGCATGTAGTGACTAACTTGGGTAGCAGTAAATTACTACCCAAGTACATCGGCCCATTTCGTGTATTGCACCGACTAGGCAATGCATACACGATCGAATTGCCACGTAAGATGCGAACGCATCCCACGTTTTACGTTGGTCGGCTTAAGCCGTACCATCAGTACGCTGCTTCTTCCGATGAAGAACGCCCTTGCGCTCAAGCATCTCGCAGAGAGCCTTGTGCTCCCGATGGTGGGCATCGACAAGGGTCTGAAGAGCAGCTATCTCATCCCGAGACCGATCAACAATCCCACGAGATACCCTTAGCTCGTCACGAAGAGATGTCAGAGCTCTCTCGTTCTCAAGCTGAGCAAAGGCAAACTCAGCTCGATGCTTCGAGACAGCGTCGGCCAGTTGGAGACGTCTGTCCCGCTCATGTTCGAGATCGCCGCGTAACCCTTGCGTTACGCGATCAAAGAAGCTCTCGGGAACACACGGATCCCCATGATCGTGTGGAGAGCGTCTTTCCTCCTCCTCCACCTCCATTAGAGGACTCTCGCGGTGGCCAGCGCTATCTAGTTGAGCAGCTGTTGAACCACCGCGACGTGAACGGACGTCAGACGAGTTATCTCGTCCGGTGGCGCGGCTATCCCCCGTCCTGGGATTCTTGGGAGCCCCACTCCCAACTGATGATCGACGTACTGGGTCTGGTTGAGCAGTACGACGCGGCACATCCTGTGCCGCAGAAGGACCGCCGAAGAAAGTCTTCCCGGCACGGTCGTAAAGGGATTTCAGGCTGTCAACTCATTCGTACATCTCACTAGAGATACGTACGCGCCACCACGGGTTATTAGGGAGGTAAGCCTCCTTAGGTGCTCGTGCAGAGTTGTTCACACATCATGGGCACGAGTCTCCCCAAGAGAGGCAGGGTAAACCTTTCTTCCTTGACAGACGATGCAGCTTGTAGCGTGCACCTGTCGGGGTTCTCCTCTCATACTTATCACGAGTTTTGATAAGTTTGTCGTTCCAAACGTCACGACCTACATCCTCAAGGTTGTGGATGTAAGCGTTCCATGCTTGAAGCAATGAGGGACCATCACGTTTGTGATTACCACTGTACCATAGATGCTCAAAGAAAGCACCGATGAAGAATTCATTCTCAGTGTGATAGTTTTTCGCACTGGGGTCAAGGTGATGGATCCTTGATGAATCGAACAATCGTGTACGATAGCGATCACTTGTCGTCGCCGACAAGTGATCCATGACGGATTTTGGAGGCATTCATGCCTTCTTTTCTGGAGCGAGACGCAACACACTGCGGTCCCGCTCTTCCTGCGACGTGCCGACAGAAGTACTGGCACCTCGTTGCGAAGTGGTGTCCATAGGAGAACCGACACCACTGTTAGCGCCCGAGTCTCGCGATCTCGAGCGCCTACGATTTGGCGATGGTTCATCAGATTCGTCAGATAAACCAAAGATGCAACGGCGAGTAGCATCACCCATGCCACGCTTGGCAGGCGGCTTGGATTCGATCGCCGTCGATACACTTCCGTCTTCCGTATCAGGAGAGTACGAGACACCGAGCTCATACTCTGTGAAGACATGAGTTTCTTCTTGACCATCGCCTGCATCACCAAGTGACACAGGCTGAGTCGCTTCAGCAACCGATGAGAGACATCAGTTGCTGTGGTTTCTGCTTCAGCGTCCGCACAGAGACGTGCGGACGCGCTCTCGGTGGCCTTGCTCGCGCACCGCATGGGCTTGTTAACCATGCGATGAATTGTTGGAAAGTGGACTCGGACCAACAAGTGCAAACCCCGTCCCAAATGATTTGGGACGAGTATCCATTTAGTCAATCAGTCACTAAAGTGACTGATGGTTAAGGGGAGGGTGATGGAACAGGGTGAACCGTTACATAACAATTTATAAGAAATTGTTAATAGAATATAACTATAAGAGTTATATTCTCAGAATATTGTCATAAGGACAAATATTCTGTAGCACTTACGAGTAGTTCCTAATTGGTTGATATAGGCCATTGTATTAACCAACGAAGACGCGCCACGACAGACGCACGCAATGAGTGGTGAGCAGATAGTTGGTATGCACATTTGTATTTAGACATAGTTAGATGAGGATAAATAGTGATTTATTGCAGACATTAACTATTATAAATACAGTTCTACTTTTTACTTTAACCAAGTACCCGCTTCTCCTTATCGTCTTCCTCTGCACGTACGAGTGTACGTGAAGTTCCGAGGCACCGCCTTATTCTGTCATCAGAATAAGTAGCTTGTACTGTCATCAGTACAAGCTTCAGGGTGCCCCGTTACAGACAGCCCCTCTGCCAGCCAAGAGCTTGTCAGTTGCTCCTTCGTAATCGATAAACAGCGCATCAATGCACTAGGATTGCATCGTTCCATAAGATTGATGCGCGTTCTTCATGCCACTGGCTCATTTTGTCGCTAGCACCACGCTCCGCCTCTTGTCTCCCGAACAGCTTCTCGTCCTTTTCGAAACAAAACCGCTTGCACAATTTGTCCGCGGCGTTGAGCGACGCGTCATCCGGTTTTCCTAAATTAGCCGGATTCTGGTTCTCGATGGATTGCGCAGCCTTGTCTGGTCAATCATCAAAAGACACATGTAGCCATTCTACAAGTACATGGCTACAAGATCGTACTTGTCGTGCACTTACACAATATTTGACAATATCAGGAAAAACAGCTGCAACTTTGTGTGTTTCGTGAAATTCTATCGCACTACTTGACGGACAACTCAAAGTGAACAATGACGGCACCCGCGCTTCATGTCGGTGACTGGTTAGGTACGATTGGCCTCCATGCAAGGTTCCAACAAGAAGCTGAATATATAAAGTATGAGATCCATCAAACCCTCTAATTTTATACCTGCCTTGCAGACGTCGTTGACGGTGATGGGATCTGGAATGTTGCACAAGTCATTCGACTGGCCACGCCCGAGACCGTGGAAGTGACGTATGACTGCTGGGGAGACGAGTACAATGAAGTCTTGAGACGAGACAGCGACCGGATCGCTCCGTACCACACGCACACGTGGTCGGTCAAGTGCTGGGCCAAGCTGGACACATGGCCGTGGTGGCCAGCCGTCCTCACTGTGCGAACTCCTGGCTCTGCTCTTGGGGCGCAAAACTTGAGACAGGAAGAGCGACTGCTCGTGGACTTTCTCGACCACACGGAGTTTTTCGAACGTTGCAGGTTTGGGAGATTTCTATTTTTTATATTTAATCATCGGATTGGATTTTATTTTTTTTTTGATGTGGAGAAATGATGCGATGGACTCTTTATGTTTATATGCTCGTTGTTGAAACTATGTTTTTGATGGGGGGTCTGCCATCACGACAATGCTAGGTGCTGGGTGAGAAAGAGCCAGACGATGGCGCTTCAAAGTCATCGAGACACGAAAAAACGGTTGATGACGCTCAAGGGTAAGAAAAAACTCAAGTATGACGGACGGAAGAGCAAACAAGTTGGTGCTTGCAAAGTCGTTACTAGCCCAGTGCGATGCGCGAGAAGAGTTTCCCAAATTTTGTGAGGGAACGCTGCCTGTGCAGTTTGAGAACAACTGTACGAGACCGAATACGGAAGTGAGGATCGAAATGGGGGAACAGCTCTGGATGCGCGCCTTTGCTGACAACCGAGTCAGTCATGCAGCAACACATGCGTACGCACCTGTGCTGGCTGGCGATGAAGAGGGACTTGAGCTGCTGAAGTCGAGGAAAACGATTAATGCGGACAAAATCAGGACCCGATGCGATGCGTCGATTGAGGCCGATCAAAACAGCCCGTCGCTAGATATGAGAATGGCAGACATTGCAACTGCCCAACCAAAGTCTACCGATGTCCCCATCGTAATTGGAACTACAACTACGATACTAGCTGCAAAGGATTCGCGAAAACGAACGAATTCCAATGCCGGAGATGCAGTATGTGGCTTCAAATCTACCAGCGATACCGAAGAACCTCGCATTGAGTCACAGAGATACGGAAAAACACCGAAGGTACTCAAGATCTCGAAAGCGTCGGTTTCTAGACCTTTGTCATGCACCCCGGGCTACGCCGCAGATCTTTTCAGAGAAACGTCTTGGGACGGGAAGAATACCGCTACTCCTCACATCCGTCATGCAGCGCATTCACAACTGCACGCAACGGAAGGTGACGTTGTGAATGGTGCACTCAGTGCCTTCGATGCCGACGTCTCACCTTATTGCTGGATATGCGCAGGTGTACCGAGCACAAAGTTGCCTGTATTGGATCAGCACATGGGGCAGGAAGAGGCTATGATGATAGAACAGTTGTCGGGTGAATCGTCAAAGCCTGGCAACAAGAGTGTCTGTCCAATCCAAAGTCTTGCTCGGTCAACAGAAGCCATTTTGCAGGCTTATAAGAAGCTGCGCGACATGGAAGCTGCAGTGGGTGGCAAGTTGACTGAGCTTGTTGAGAAAACTGCAAAAGCGGAAGAGCTTTGGAGTAGATGTGCTGACTCGCGTAAGTCGCCGGATGAGTTTTTCTGTCTGCCGAATATGTACTGACATTGCATGATATATGGTCGGCTAACAACGTTTTGCCATTCTTACTATGGGTGCGCTCGCCCACATCAGCGTCGTTCTGTTCTGCGCAGCAAAACGAAGATGATGTTAGCGATACGCTATTTTCTACCTTTGAGGCTGAAAGCGAAACGGATCGTGCCATCGATGAGAGTCTGCATTGCGAAAGCGGAACTTGTGGCTCTCCTGATGCCTTAAAGTGTTCATCATCTGCGAGAAGAGCACCACAGTCCAAGTGCAGAAGTGCTTCAACTCTTCGTACGTTGCGCTACCAAGTGCGCTAGAACAGTCTGATGTATAACGGTGTGCCTGTCAAATGTGGTTATTCATAGCTGCTGAGCTGGATGGTACCAAAACTGGCTTGCTCGCCTGTTCGAACGGTCAAGGTGCATTCACACGGATGGATCATCCTAGCTATGGAATGCCAATCCATGCAGGTAAGTGCAGACAATTTTTTCGTGCACGTTAAAGCACTTGCCTTCGTGTCCTCACTATCTTTGGGTGACGGGACAGGATGTTCGCCCCATAACGGCGACAGTCAGGAGGAAGTCAAGTGGTGTTGCACGAACCCATTCCCGCAATCAGTGAACCAGCAGCTTAGCGGATCATGGTCAAGAGACCACAGTTCCTCGACCTTCAGTGTGAATGACAACTTCTCAGTGAGTCAGTGGTATCGAGATCTGTACCCGACGTCATTTGATCTCGAGCGATTGTGACGGCAATCCCAGTAGGTAGTTGTATGTGCTGCGACTTGTGCACTTGCAGCTTTGTCGTGAAGTTTAAGTTGCTGGTTTACACGATGATCCTGTCGTTGGTGACACCCGAAAGAGAGTCTTGGACCAATCATTCGTGATGACGGAATCGTCCAGCTGGACGCTGTTTGCGTGTGCGTTGGACGTGCTGACAACCAGTGATGTCTTTGTCAATGTGGACAAGACCACCAAGTATGTGGCGCAATGGAAGAGTGGCGCGATCACTGTAATCTACAACGAGGACGACGAGTTGAACAATGTACCGGATCATCCCGCACGGCCGGACAACGTGCAAATTGTTCCGGCTTACAAGGCCAAGCAAGGATCCCGAAAAGCTTTCGTGCATAGGTGAGTGCGCTCTCATTGATCTAACTAGCGGTCCATTGCTTGGTGTTGAGGCTCTTGTGTTGACGTGCATCGCGTTTATGCAACAGCTTAGCGCATGCCGAGAGCTACGCGATCGATCTCATGTGGGACATGGTGTGCCGTTACGTAGCACACAACTTGCCCCGTGCATTCTACGACGACTGGGTCCGCATTGCGGGTCAGGAAGCCGACCACTTCAACAGCTGGGCCCATCGTCTGACAGAGCTTGGGAGTTTCTACGGCGATCTCACGGGTCACGAGGGTCTCTGGGATGCAGCATACGACACCCGCGCGAGCATCCTAGCACGTCTGGCCCTTGTGCATCTCGTCCATGAAGCTCGTGGACTTGATGTGTTTTCAAATGCTGTCAAGCGATTCGAGAAGGCCAGCGACAACATCAGTCTGGACATTTTGCGTAAGAACTACCGCGAGGAGATCACGCACGTGGAAGCAGGGGTGCGTTGGTTCCGGTACGTCTCGGAACGGGATGGCAACGATGCGATCGCCACGTTTCACGAGCTTGTACCGCAGTACTACAAAGGCACGCTCAAACCGCCTTTCAACAAAGAGGCACGTGACAAGGCTGGAATGCTGGAGGACTGGTACGTCCCTCTCAGCTCGAAAACTTGTGCAGCGAAGAAAACGCCATCTACTAGCACTTCGGCGATCGAAGAAACGGCTGCTGCACTGTCAGGGTAGAGCTGCATCCGATGAAGATGTAAAGGACCTCGCGAGGCTGCAAAACACACGTGAATTATACAGCTATTGGGGCCGTTCATAGTGGATTAGCAGGTTGGACCATGCCAAGTGAGTTCGAGTTTGCAGTACGTAGTGGAGACTTGACAGCCATTGATTTGTAGCATGAATCGCAGGACCCTTGACTTTGGACCGGTCGTGATTGGCTTCATTTGCAGTGGCGAAGCGCTGGTAATCCATGCTTATGTTGCGTGTTTTCTCCTCAATAGTGCGCTCACGAGACCGGCGTCCACGGTTCCGGACCGTGTCAAAGCTCCCGATTTTTGCTGGTCACGAATTCGATAGACGACTCAATCGTGGAATGGTGATACCAAGTCTCAACATGGCAGAACATCTGGAATCCAGGTTGAGTATCAACAGTTTACGGTCTCAAGGTTCAATGGGAAGAATCATCATGCACGAAAGATGGTGAGCTGATTCACGTTGACAACTTGTGCTGCTTACACCGACTACTGCAGCTTACGCACCGACGAAAACCAAAGACATACAAGCAGGAGCGCGTGTGCTACATCGTGGGACGAGACATGTCCTCGAGCAAGCCACAAGTACCCGAGCTGGACGAAGTGCGTTGCAGTCGGATGTATCCCGCCTCGCCCCAATTCTCACCCCACGAGTTCTGGATCTTGATCGTAGTGTCGTCGTAGCCCACAACGACCACGGCGTGGTCAAGCGAGGAGGTCTCACAGCTCGAGAGGATCCCACCAGTGTACTGCTTCCAAGCTGCGTTACCCGATGCAACTGCTGCGACAATCGGCTGCAACTTGAGTGCGTCAATGAGCGCCGCGTCGTCGCCTTCGTCCAGCTTTTCGTATCCAGTGATGCCCGTTTGCCTCTTGGAGCAACTTGTCGAGCAGGACGTGGAACCGCCTTTTTGTAGCGTGTAGGGATACGCGCTTTCCAAGCAAAGGCCGTTCTTCTTAATGTAGTCGAAAGCGTATGCTGGGGCACCGCCACTACAGCCCATGTTCTTCGCGTCGCAGCTGATTAGTTGCTGCTTTGAGTAGCTGTTGAGCTTCGATTGACCAAGTTTGATGCACTCCAGCGACTCGACGGCAGTCACGGAAGCAAACGCCCAGCACGAGCCACACTCACCTTGGCTTTGAACGGGAGACCCGCATGGAGTGGTAGACCAGTCGACTGAGTTTGCGGTATTGGCGATGGGTTCATCCACTTGAACTGAGACTTGATCCTGCTTCACCACGGGCTCAACGACAGGTTGGCGAGTCGCGGACTTGGGTTCAGGAGCGGGTGTTGGAGCTTGCGTCAAAGGAGCTGGGGCTGGGGCAGGTTGTTTCCAATGCACTTGTTTTGCAATCGAAGTGTCCACTTCGTTTGCAGTCGTGTCCAGAACAGGTTTCACCGTACCAGGTGTCCACGACTCTCCCGTTTGCTCCTGGATGCTGTTTTGCAACGTGTCAATCAAGTCTTGGATGCTCGCGATCGAGGACGTTTCCTTGTCACGCAGTGATCGCGTGGGTGTTGCTGGAGCAGTTGGCTCTGTGATGTTAACGTGGACGTACGCGTTGAGGACCTTGGTGGCAAACTCCTCTTTCGTGAGCGCTGAGAACGGGGTCATGATGGAGAAATTTGCGAGTGGATTGGCAGCCTGCGCTTCCGCGACATCTTGCTTGCTCATGAAAATCCGTTGACGCAGATCTTCGTCCGTCGTATCCAAGCTACGCTCTTCGGAGAAGGAAGGCAGCCACTTGTTGTCGGTCCAGAACTTGGCTTTCCAGCTTCTCATGTCCTCGTCCGTGACGTCAATTTCAGCGAGGTAGCGCTCGTAGTTGATTCCCGCGTGCATCTGACGGGCTTTGACTGCAAGTGGTGCGATGGCTACAGCACATGAAGCGAGCAAAGTGGACGTTTTCATGATTTACTGCGTCAATGTGCAACAGTGAATGGAGATTCAAGAATGAGGTCTTGAGCTCCGCGGGACTTTGAGCATCCTTTTAATGGGTACACAAGACCATGAAGGTGTTTGAAGTCATTACCCGATCGCTAGTTCCATGTGGCGCGTATTTTTCGACGGAAGAATCTGCGTGAGGATAATGGATGACAAAACGTGCACACGATGTTGACAGCTCCCGGGTTCACACGCAAGTGCGTGACAGCAAGTTGTGGCACCGCACGTTTACCGAATTGAGAGACATTCGGTCTCTTCTATTTGACCAGGTCTGCCCGCTTGTCGAGTGCACAACGTCGACCTGCTGATGCCGAAGCTGCAGATCATGTACGAAGATATCGTCAAATCGAGACTCCAAGCTACACACTATGGGCAGAAAGCCCCGTACGCTCGATAAAAAAGGTCAGATACTGCCGCTTCAACTGCTACAATGCCATGCTCGCAACTTGATCTCGGGGCAAGACTTTGTTGTATTCACCCACGCACTAGACAGCGATGAAGGAGATGGGATGGAATACCGCCATAACATATTGGATTCATCGAAATCGACCGACTACTACGTCAACGACAGGATGGCCGGGCGTCACGTCTTGTCATGACGGAGGACAAGTATCCACATGGTGTCGCATGACATACCACGCACATGGTTTCCCGATTACCAGCTGGAACGCAGCAATGTGGCTCCGTTGTCGAACGAATCGGTCATCGAAGCAGAGCCAGTGATTTGCGTGTCTGGTTGGATATCTGTCAAGTGTCAAGGCCGGTGGGTTGTGCAGACCCGGCGACTGACTGACGATCCAGTCCTCTGGACCGAGAGCGTCTATGGATGCGACGCGTTTCTTCCGAAAACATCGCACGCTTCACTGACAACAACACCCACGACAGGATCTATCGAGCCGACCGCTCCGTTTTGCTCAACGGATGCGTGCGTCCCGTCATACCAAACACACGTGGAACTCGGCGCAGTGTTTCCATGGTCTTTGAACGAAGCTGAGCTATGCGGTAGTCGAGTCCCGCGTGTTACTAGCATCCCTTCAGCAGCGAACCAATGGAGACTGTAAGTCCACTGCAACGTAGTAGCAGCTACTTCAGAAGGGAGTCCGCCAGTGCTGTACAAGGGAGAGGCTGACGATGATATCATGCTGCCATCCTCAAATCCGTCTTCCCTTTCTCACTTCGTGGGTGGACGCCCGCCACGCGATGGCGACCCCCTTTACCACCAGCTGGTAGCAAGCGTGCTACAGTCGGTGACAAAAGCCCAGTGAACCTCGCGCGATAAGCGACAAGTGCTCAATTGGCGCGTGACGAGCATCTTTTCTGTCGTTGAAGCAGGTGCGTCGAGTCCGGGCTGGACCCAGTCAGACTCTCGTGCTGCGATCAGAAGCACACACGGACAGGAGGAGATCGAGACCGACGTTCGGGCCAAGTTCCAAGGACGCCACTTGGCTCGTATCAGTCACTGCTTTGAGCTCCAAGTCCCGGTCGGATTGAGCCTCCCGGACGTTCCTGTTGTCTGTAACGTCTCATCCGCTTGCTTTTTCCTCTCCGACGACAGGAATCGTCCTGCTTCTGGACGAACGGACGCTTGCTCGTCCAGCCGGAGGTTAGCAATCAACGTGACGACGCGAACGTCTCGTGTCAACAGCACTGGAAACGAGCCGCTACCAACCACAGTTGGTTGGTCGTCACGGAACAAGTCACAACAGCCCGAGATGCTCTTCTCGTTAGTGCCAAGCTCAAACACATGAGGTGCAGGACCGACTTCCCTGTGCGGCATTGCATCCAAGCCAGCATGACCTGGATGGAACGGGAAGAAGTGCCCGATGAACCTCCTCGTCCGACTCGAATGTAGAGAGCGAACGACAATTGCATTCAACTGTTGAGCCAGTAGGTTGGCAAGTAGCTAACATCAAAGTATCAATAGGTTGGTAGGTTGGTTGGTTGGTTGGTAGTCGTTAGTCGTAGACCCGTCTTGGAGTGCGTCTAGTCAGTGGTGACCACCTCCTTGCCAGTCTGCACTTCCACTCGCTCCCATGCCTTGAACAACCACTTGAGTTTTACTTGAGTGTGCGTGTGTGTGCGTGTGTCTTGTGTAGGCTATCCACTGCCTCTCTCTCTCTCTCTCTCTTCTGCTCGGTCCGTCCGAGTCAGCCAGCTCCCGATCCTGAGCTGATCCCCGATCCCCACCTGCTCCTCTCGTCGCTTTTACGCAGTTCCAAACCTGCCGTGTCGATCGCACTCTCGATCGCCCCTCGAAACCCCGCGGGCCAAAGCAAAAAAACCGTGGGAAACCTGGTAGGCTGAACTGGAAAACAAGCCGATGCAACTCCGGGTTTCGCTTGCCGCCGTCGCATTGGCACTGGCCGTCGTCGCTGTGGCACTCGGGCCTGGCGTTGAGGCACGACCGATGCACGCGGCTATTGTCTCCAAGTACCATCGGTACTTGGAGGAAAAGGACGAGGTGCAGACGGAGTTGGATAAGTGGCTCGAAGTGTACGGGAAAGAAGGTCGCGGGTTCATTCCAGTGACCGAGTCCCGAAGCACTGAAGACGAGCGAGAAGACCAGCTACAGCGGTTTTACCTCACGACGGAGCTGATCAAAGAGGCGCGAGCAGCGAACCCGTTGGCGGAATTCGGGACGCAGAACCCCTTTACGTTGATGACCATGGACGAGTTCCAGCAATTCCTTCAGAACTCCCATGTGAGTGCTTATGCCGATGCGGGACCTTCACATGGGACCAAGCCATCTCGAGGCAAGAACAGCTCGCTGTCATCGAAGTATGGGCCGCCGGACGGACATGGTCACGATAGCACGGAAGGGGTTGCTCGACAGAAATCGTCAGAGATCTCCATGGAAGGTCCGAGTCCAGCAGCTACTTCAGGAGGACGTCACCTTCGGGAGGCCGAGGATCGTCCGCTCTCGATTCAGATAGGAGGGTTCAGCATCAATAGTGACCTGGGGTTCGAACCCACGTCGGAAGCTGACGCGCAAACGACCGAGCAAACTGAACTCGGTGAACCCGATCAAAGCAGCAGTCCTAGCACCGGTATCGGTGGAGACAACACGAACGGAGGTTGGAATTTCGGAGCTGTCTCGATTGGTGACGGTGCCCAAGTTGCGCCAGTCTCCGAGGGTACTGCTGCTAGTCCCAATTGGCGGCGAGCATCTAGTTGGAGTAGCACGAGCTGGTGGGGCACGGGGGGAAGTGGAGACGCAAATGCTGACACGAGTGCTCGTACGTGGACATTCAAGTCGGGAACTGGAGACTCGAATGCTGGCACGTGGAACTTCCCGTCGACGATGTTGTCCGGATCGAATTCGCAGGGGACCCTTGCGGTTAACCCGCAGTGGACTGTCGATCTAAACTCACAGGAGACTCCAGCCTCGGACTCGCAGCGGATGCCACCACCAGATCGAGCGTGGACGCCAGTATCAGAGTCAGAGTGGACTCCAACATCAGAGCCGCAGGAAGCTCCCGCATCAGAGTCACTAGAGTCGCAGGTGATCCCAACATCGGAGTCGCAGGAAGCTCCCGCATCAGAGTCACTAGAGTCGCAGGTGATCCCAACATCGGAGTCGCAGGAAGCTCCCGCATCAGAGTCGCAGGAGAGCTCAGCACAAGAGTTGCTGGAGCCTCCAGCCTCGGACTCGAGCTTGACTGGACCTTCTTCAGCTTCGTCACGACCGGAACTTCCTGCTTCCGACCGTAAGCCGTCTGCTGCACAGCCCCCTCCCTATTCCGAGTCGACAAGAGCTCCAGCTCCGTCCAGTCCGGCCGCCGTAAGTCCCGTAACACCTGCGCCCAAACGTGCACCTGCTGTTGCTCCTGTCAGTGACACCGCCTCGACGACCGGCAGTTCTTCATCGAGGGCAAGTGACTCAGTTCCAAGCTCGGACGCTGTTGACTGGAGCTCGTCCCCTTGTGTCCACGCTCCTAGTCGGCAAGGTCGGTGTGGCAGTTGCTGGGCGTTCGCCTCCATTGCAGCCCTCGAAGCTGCTCAGTGCCTTCACCACGGCGACAAGAACGCCTCGTCGTATTCCAAGCAGCAGCTCGTGAGCTGCGACACCAAGAACTTTGGCTGCAGCGGAGGTGCTCCTGTCTACGCTCTCGAGTACCTCCGGGACAATGGCGTCTGCACCGAGAGCAGTTACGAGTACACGTCCACCGAAGGAGGGGAACCTGCTGCGTGCACCAAGTCGTGCACCCCCGTCAAGTCCGGGATCAAGGAGGTCAGGAAGCTCGAACCGGGCGACGAGAGCGCGTTGCTCCAGGCCTTGAACCAGCAGCCGGTCATTGCGTCCGTCACGTCCAACAATCCGATCTGGAAACAGTACATCAAAGGGGTCATCACTTCGTGTCCAGCAGCGCCGAACGTGGACCACGCGACGCTTGTCGTGGGCTACGATGCCACGACGTTCAAGATCAAGAACTCGTGGGGCACCGAGTGGGGCGAACGTGGCTACGTGCGCATCAGTCGCAGTGCAGCGAACATGGGTACATGCGACGTGCTCAAGGACATGTCGTACCCGGAACTATAACACGAGACCTTGACCGGCAGTGGCTATTGTAACATTTCGGAACCGAAAAAAAAACCCCCACTGTTTCTAAACAAGCTGCTGGGTGGTTGTCGGGGTTGAGAAAAAAAGCACTTTGTTGGGAGCGGGGAGTGGTGGTTCACGTGCACCACATTACTTTCGCACCACGGCTCGCCCTCCCCACCAGTGGTTTGTTTCTCAAGTGAGCTGCTCGTGCGTCTTTTTTTTCTTCCCATCCTCGTCGGTTCATGCCTGCACTGGTGCGTCTCGTGCGTCGTCAATCTCGTCTCTTTTCGAGTCCCCTATTGCACACAATGAGCTCTACGGCTCGTCGTTCTTCCAGTGCAAAAGCCACTGCAATTACGCGCTTTTTGGACGAACACGGAGCGATTCGATGCGGGCAACGGACCGACGACGGCTCGACAGCGCTACTAATCGAAGGCGATGACCCTTTAGGCACTTTGTACTTTACAGGAGAAACTGCTACGATTGAAAAGGTGCTGGCTCCAGTGGTCCCATCTCAGATTCTTGGGATCGGTCTTAATTACCGCCAACACGCCATGGAGACCAAGATGCCAGAGCCCAAGTTCCCTGTGCTCTTTACCAAGGGCGTCAATGCTCTGCAGCACCCCCACGATCCTGTGGTGATTCCTCGTGTGGCGTCGGATCCTCCGGAAGTTGACTACGAGTGCGAACTAGCGGTAGTGCTGAAGGAGAGCTGCTGCAATGTGACACAAGAAGAAGCACTGGCTTTTGTCGGTGGCTACACTTGTGCCAACGATATCTCCGCTCGAAGATGGCAAGGCAAGAAAGGGGGAGGGCAGTGGTGCCGTGCCAAGACGTTTGACACGTTTTGTCCATTGGGACCAGTCCTTATTACACCAGAAAGCATCCCCAACCCACAGACGCTGGATATTGCGACGTATTTGAATGGCGAACAGGTGCAAAAGTCAAACACGAGCGATATGATCTTCTCAGTTGCCGAGATCATTAGTCTGCTGTCGCAGGACTGTACGTTGCCGAAAGGTACACTGATATTGACGGGAACACCAGAGGTAAGGCTGCAGGTTTGATGATTGTTTGAGTATGGAAAGTCTGATCCTTGTGTTTGTGAAAATGATATTGAAGGGCGTTGGTTTTGCTCGCGATCCGCCACTTTATCTTGCACCTGGTGATATGGTGGAGGTCGAGATTGAGCGTATTGGCAAGCTCGTGAACCCAATTGTGGGCGCCTCGGCGCTCTGAGTATCTAACAAGGCAAAAGTCGCTGGTTGAACAACCTATTGTAGCATTCGTTTTCGGTGCAATATTTGAGTCACTCTTTATGTGAAGTCACATGCTGCAAGCTAAAGGTCGGTACAATAAAGTCACAGTCGTACTCGATCGGGAGACCATAACTTTAAATCTAGCTCATTGTCCTGCGTAAACTGTCCAATTCCAGCCACAGGTAGCAAAAATACGGACTGACGGTCGGCGTGTTAGGATGAGTATGCGACCAGGCATCACGCTGTAAAGTAGGATCCTGCGTCATTCTATTATGCACTTCTACCGATCAGGACTGAACTATTGATGAGTTAGTCACACTTGTGACGACTGTAAGTTCAGTTCCTTGCCATTTGCGTTGACTTTATATACTGCCGTCGAGCCAAGATCGACCTGACGAAGCTGCTACATTGATCGATACTTTTGGCTTTTTTAACGATGATGAAACTAGCTATTTGAGTCTGGATATGTGCAATGGGATTGAAGAGTGTGAACACACCAAGCAAGGCATCTATGTGTATGATTCCTGATTTCTTGACACGCGAGGTATACTACGGCACAAGTGCTTGTTGCCTTGCTGAGCAGGTAAAAGCAAATCAGAAATCCCGTCGAACACAGTCTTGCAAAGATGACGGCTGAGGTAATATAGGCGTGTGGCCGATACAGTTGTCGGTTATAAGGTGAAGTGTCTTTACGCGTGGCCGATACTGCGACGACTGCTTTCGTAAAAGTGCTTTTTAAAGCGGACAGAAATGATTCGCTTTATCTTCTTGAGACGTGCGTACTGCATGTCGTAACTGATTATCGTGCAATTGACAGTATTGTATGATGGTCCGCTTCCCCTTTTTATCGCGGGTAAGCAGGCCCCTGTATTGCTGTTTCAAGTAGGTACTAAATGATGCCTTTTAGGGTCATACCAATCGAAAAGATAAGGGCAAGAAGCGCCGGACAGCAATTTCGCAAGCGGATATCGGACGGTGGGAATTTGGGTCCTTTATGATTTATAGTGGTAATTGCTCTGGTGGATTACCGCCAAGTATGTGCTCATTTTCGCAAAACACAGTCAACAATCGCGTGGCTAGATTCTCTCGACAACAAGTTCAGCGCAACCGCTCATTCTTACAAAAGAGATTTCGAGCAAATTTAATTAGCTCTAATATTTAATATCTTCTCCTGAGACATTCTCACCACATTTGAATCGGTTGACCGAATTTGTGTGGCTTCTGCTAGCCTACGAAACAATCGTTACGCTCACCTGTTTTTCTTCTTCGATAACGTCATAAACTTTATAATTTGATTCTTGTGATTCGCTCGGCGATCGAGAGAATCCTCGACATCATGATTGCAAATCTCACACATCCTATCCATTGCATGCGATTCCAGACTTCATCATTCGCATCAGATAGTTGGAGCATAAACATCCTGTGTCCTAACATTTGCAAAGCTGCGACCGTCAATTTGTAACCCTCTGTCCTGATGTTGCACTGCTTGCGAGGGATAATAGGTGGGCAGGCACTTAGTCGGAGGCTCTACGAAATAGCGTTGAAGTACGACAGATGTCATACCAACCACATACCTTTACTTACTATTTCAAGACGATTCCCGCTTCTTGCATCTGCGGCCCAACGTGGCTGTACGTCATACTTTTGTTCCCAAGCGAAGCCAACATGTGGTTCAACGAGCGTGAGAACGAGAAGATCGGATGACGCTCGGAGCAGGAGACGAGTCTTGCAGGACAGTACATCGTTTTTCAAGTCGCCTTCTTAATTGCAAGATCGAATGTGCTGTCAAATCTCCATGTACACGAGCAACAAACGCCTTTGCATGTACAACTGCATTCTAAATACCATCAACAAGATCGAACCTGCTGAGAATGCTGCGCAGGCCTGCTGTTCGACCGTGCATCCAATGATTTTGGTACTGGTCTTTAAATCTATGAGGCCTTCGAAATGGAAATAGAAAACATAGAGAGTTGTGGCATTTCCAGTGCGAAAAGATGCCGATAGGTTCAATGACTTTTGCCAAGAGAGCTTGTTTATAAGGTCCAAGATCGTTGCGGTCGAGCACATCAGGGGAAGATTACGAATTGGGGAGAGGGTCGTTTCGTGAGCATCGAAACCAATTGTGTTCTTCTATCCTGTTTGGCAGATGCTGCGCTGGAGATAAGTCGCAGTTCACTACGACGGTGGTAGATGTGACGTTAATATCATACCAAAGGAAGTTCGGACTCGGCCGACGTCTGTGAATCAGTCCATTCCATTGTATGCAATACACAAAATTGTTTACAAGGCGCAGTCATCACGTGAACAGCCTTGTACTGAACCTGAGTTAGTTTTGTCCCTGAGACTGGGATATTATGCAGATGATGATACCGTCGTTATCCGTTCCTTCGCCTCCACTAGGCAGACAACAAATGCGTGACAATTGGATCATGGGATACTTCAAAGGAGGTAGGTTCCCTTTCCTTTATGCCTAGAAGTGAGCAAAGTGCAGGATCAACACTGTGTTTTATAAAGTAGCACCCGGCATTCAGTAAGATTCTGGTACAAAATCCACGCCTTGCATAGACCGATACAGCTTTGCAGTCTCGAGCGGTGTGCAACACGATAAAGTACCTCCACCATTCTTACTGTCAATAGTTGTCACACACCTGTGTTCATTGCCTCGAGTACCGTGCAGTGTGACTGTAACCCGTTACTGTCTCGTCACGACGACTGTGCATCTGCGGGATGCAAAACGCAGTGTAGTAAAAATTACTTTGTAATACCGAGTCATGTCTTTGCCTCCATACAAAGTGTGCATCAAAAGAATGACCCGATGCAAACGCATTTACTTGGACCGGGGTTCTGCTTCAGCGGAAGGCTACGTAATAAGGCCACAAAATGTTACCGCGGCGCCCAGCGGTTGATAAGCAAAGACATGCATGCACTGCTTCTGGCAAGAAGCTGGACGCGATGTAGCTCGATGGGGAACACTGATAACGATTCCGTGCTCTTGTTCTGCTATTTCCAGATCACGTTAAAAGCAGCCTCTTTCCTTCTGTGCCGATTACGCTCCAATATTCTATCGCTGCGTCGTCTAGACACAGCTACCATGGCTACACCCTGCAACAACATTTTTGGACGGCCTGCTTGAAGGTGGTTTGTCCTTCTGGCGGCCGGCAATTCCTTTTTTTTATTCGGCCGGTACGACCCTGCGCTGTATTTTTTCGTTTGTGTAACCCAGTTCAGTAAGCAGCTTCCACAACCAGTGTACAGTAGTATTGCTAATATCGGATACCACAACAAGCCAAGCTGGCTTTCCATGGGCTCGAGAAGCTCTACAAAAGCATTCAAGTAATTCCGTGAATTTTCCATCTTCAACAGTCTTGGGTTGACCCGATGAAGCAGACGATGGTACATCCACTACCGCTTTCTCCTCAGCTCTGCTCGACGTCTGCGAAGTTGAAGTGTACAAGCTGTCACACGAAACTATCCAGTGTAAAAAACACACTGGCGCTCTTGCCACCCTAGCAATAGCTAGCACCTCCTGGATCGAAGGTGTTGCGATACTGTACTGAAATGGTGGCCCAATCCTCTCCCTGCTATCTACTGATCGTTCATCACCACGAACGGAACAGATTTTTTTCGTTGCTTACTTGATTAGCCTTCAGTCCAGTTGCCGATGCAGAGGTAAAACTCGTGCACAAACACATGCAAATTTGCACAAGCCTTCAAGTGGAGGTGGCCCTGAAATCCACGTCCGACATGATTACCGAGCCTTGCTAGCAAATAGCTGTCTCGGACATTGCTTATATTTTAGTAGGATCGAATTTTGTTTGTGTCAATGGTACCCAAGAGCTTCTCAACTCGTGCACTGTCACTGTTCAGACATTCGTATTCAATGAAGTATCTGTCTGCTGCCCCTAACGGAATCAGACAAGATTGACGAATACGTATCTTTGGAGAGGGTAGCTTGGAAGAGGCACGAAGCAGCTGCTACTTCTGGGCAGCGGCCGGCTGACTTGCTTGGATCGAAGCCAGGAGGGATCGACCGTAGCCACTTCTTCTGCATCGAACACCTCGGGATCTGGACCCGGATCTCAAGGCGTTCGATGTAGAAGAAACTTTCGGCATCACGGGGATACAACCTGGCAATTCATTTTTACTGGGTGGAGGGTTCCAGTGTAGACCAGATCGGCTTGCGTGATGACACCGCGTCTGGCTGTAAGAATTCCATCGATCGCATCCGTGACGAATGGAATTCCACTTTGACACAAAGTTGCTCTAAATGGCGACGACTGTCATCCACCGCAGCGACAATCGCTTCTGTCGGTACAAGTAGTGACACTTTAGTCATGGGCTATGTATGCAAGCAGCCCGTAGATATACCATCGCTTGTCTGACTGATATTGCTGCATCATCACTATTGCTGTTTGCTGAACTTGTTCTTGGTGTTCACATGGGCAGAATGCCTTGCTTCCGGGCTTCTTATTGCATTCCTTTCTGCATGGAGGTACAAGTTCGACCACAGTCATTTTCAACGAACACGTTGCCTCACCAGGTGCGTCATGTCAACTATATCAAACCACTGCCGCTTGTCATCCGCACAAGCGCAACGCTTGTCGTAGATTCGCACAACAAGAACCATAAGATGTACAAATTGGTCGGACAGTTCGAAAAGCTACGGCAGCACGCGAGACTCGTGTTCAGCAAGATACTATCCAGAATCTTGATGCAGGGAATCCTGATTACAGGAGTGTGGTACCGGTATACCTGAAGCTCTGGCCAGAGTGTCGTTATACCTACTACCTCAATGCTTTCTGTCGATGGTCAGAAGAGTCTGACAGCGAGAAGAGCATAGACTACTGATGGTGTAATTCAACGGACTTTTGTGTTGTTAAACGAACCGACAGTCGTGAAAGACTGAGTATCGACCCGTATCTTCCAGCGCAATTAGAGACTCACGACCTTCAAACCACGCGAACTCGCAAACATGAAACGTGTCACCGTTGAGGAGTCAATGGTTCCATTCTATCTATCGATCACACGATACCATTTTGCAGAAGGTTACCTCCAGTTATGCATGTAATACTCCTCTACAAAGGTACCAACAGGTAGAAAGTATCGACCAAGTCATCACAGTCGTGGCCTGCACATGTAGTGCGTCAGGTCACATCAGGGGCGACCAGCGCAAGCGAATAACAAGATAGGATCGTGTACTGGGATATCAGCAAACGTCATCACAATTTCGCGCTTTCACTCTTGTATACTCATCGGACTAGTCGGCAAGCCGTAAACCGTAAAAGCTCGATGGTACACAATAGTCGCTGATAAGTTGCTGTACGACTAATTGCCGTGTCAACGTCTAACTTGCGAGACGACTACTGTGGGACCCCTCAGCTGTACGCGCTTACAGTCCGATGCGGGATCCCAAACCCCACGTGTCCGAATTCGGATCGTTTCTGTGCGCTCGCCTCTGATTGGCTGTTTGACTTTCCTCAACCCGACGCCAGAAAAGTAACGCAGCGAGCCAGCCGCCGAAATATTCCCCCATACCCACACCCCGCGTGGACCATAGAGCAAGCGACGGCTTCAGCACGCTCTGACTACGCAGCGAAGGCATCCCTGGCGGGTTGAAGCAAGGAGAAGCAAAGCGACGTTCATTCAGCGCGTTGCTTGTTGCAGTGAAAGTGGACTCGAGTCGGACACCCCCCCAGCCCTACTACCCTTTCGACCGGCAACCCCAGCCCGCGTTGCACTATTGATCAATTGTAACGGTCTCGACGGTACTGCCCGATCGATTAAACCTTGCCAAGATTTGCGCGCGCGCACTCACTCGCTCCCTCGCTCTCTCCCGCATCGCTACTGCGTGCTCTGCTGCTTCAGCCCACGCACGCTATTTTTACAACAGGACTAGGTCTTTTCGCGTGTTTCTTTTTCGGACCGTCTAAACTTATGCACCCGCGCGACATGTTGACGTGCACGGCAACCACAACGACGGCAACGACAACGGCAACGGCAACAAGCACGGAGGCGCATGCAGACGAGGAGGAAGACGCGTATCTCGCCCAGCGACAGTCTACCATGGACTCAGCGACGTTAAACAAGCTACTGAAAGCCGAGAAACACCTTACACAAGCAGGTCAAGCGACGTCTAACGTTTGGAAACTCATCGGCATGAAGGTTCCGATCGACGAGAACGAGGTGCCTACCGCTGCTGCTGTAGCAGCAATCGCTGCTACTCCTGCGCCCGTCCATAACGTGGCGAGCAGTCCCGGACGTCACGTGCGATCGTCCGTGCGGCGGAAACTCTCGACGCAACTTTCGGACGACATTTCGAGTGGCTCGTTTCTGTGCACTGGGGGCCCTACGAGTCCATTACATGGGGGAGGGACCACCACTCACCGAGCGACGAACACGGCGATACTTCGAGATGTGGCCAGTGACTTTTGCGACATGTGGACAAGTCCTACCCCTCGTTCAACTTCAAGTGAAACGAGGAGCACGAGTCCGCACTGTTATCCGCCCGTTGACCTTGGGCGCGCTGACAGTAGTGCCAGTAACACGCGGAACTCCCTCGGCTGTCCGCCGGTTTGTTCCTCGACCACGACGCAGAGCAACAGTCTGTTTGAGCGCCCGCACTTTGGCCTCTCGAGCAGTGCGCGCGCCGTGGACGCGCACGGCGCGAGCGACTCGTCCAACGTCTTGGTCGAAAACGGACGCAGCCGCTCGACGCACAGCAGCAGCACCACGAGCAGCAGCGCCACCAACAACCCCACCCCCAGCAACAACAACCCCACCCCTAGCAACAATGTCTTTGGCTTTACCCGCAGCACGACCGCGCCGCTGTCAGACGTGACGCTGTTTACGTTCACGGTGAAAAAGAGCGACAGCGTGCTCGAGAAACTCGGCAGCAAGCGCGCGAGCATCCAGCTCCAGGTCGACGTCGACGAGCGCATGCTGTACTTTCTCTCGGCACATGACCAGCGCGAGGAGTACAGCTGTGCGGCCGTGACGGCCAAGCCGCAGTCGAGGCTCGGCATGCAGCTCAAGATCCAGACGGGCAATGCGAGCGTGAACAAGAAGATCACGTTTTACAGCACGGAAGACCGCGCAAATTTCGTCCAGGCACTCGAGCAGGGCAAGGTCATGTACAGTAAAAAGACCGTGACGACAGCGCCGCCGGTGCGTGCACCGCCAACGGCCGAAGTGATTGAAGAAACCGTCTCGACCGTCTCGAGCACGTGCGAACGCTCGAAGCTTCGCGACTCGCTCGTGAGCGACCATTTCCAGCTGCTACCAGGCGAGTCCGTGCTTGAGCACGTGCAGCGCGTGACGAACCTCGTGGTCATGTCGCAGAGCGACCGCGCCGTGCAGGGCGTGCTCAAGATCACGTCGCACCGCATCACGTTTGTCCCGTACGACGCGTCGTGGAAGTTTGGCTCGTTCGAGCTCCCGCTGGCAGCGATTGACTTGATTACGCGCGACGGCCTCATGCTCTTGATTACGTGCAAAGACCTGCGCACGCTGCGCCTGGCCATGCACGACGCGTATTCACGGAAGAAAGGCTATGACCAATTACCGTCGACGCCGGACTTTCGGTGGCTCAATCTGTTGACGCTGCGAATGAAGCCGCCGAATATGATTGGCGCGCTCTTTGCGTTTGATTACCATACCGAAAAGGCAAAGCAACGCGGGGCGCCGCTCTCGGAGAAGCACAATGGCTGGTTTGTGTACTCGCCGTTTGCCGAGTATCAGCGTCTTGGGTTTCTCTCGGCCAAGAAACACCCGGAAGAAGAAGGCGTGATTACGTGGCGGCTGCTGAAGAACTCCAAGTTCCGCTTCAGTCCCACGTACCCGCAGCTGATGGTCGTGCCGTCGCTCATGTCGGAGGAGCAGCTGGTCCAGTCGGCGCGCTTTCGCTCCCGGGCACGTCTGCCTGTGGTCGTGTGGCGCCACCCAGTGAACAAGAGCGTGTTGTCTCGCTCGAGTCAGCCGAACTATGGCATGGCAGGCAATCGATCCGAGCCGGATCGGATACTGTTGCGCGCGTACCGCGACTCGGCGAATAAAAACAGCTCCAACATGTCTCCTCCTCTTCACATTATCGACGCACGCAAGCCGATTGCCACTAAAGGAAATCGGTTAAAGGGAAAAGGTACGCTGCGGCGTCAGGCAGTTTATTGGTGGATGGGCGGAGGGGAGGTGCTGATGTTTTTCTTGTGTTTGTGTGTGTTGCTTGTGCAGGTGTTGAAAACTCCCAGCATTACGACAATGCGACGATTGAGTTCATGGGCATTGCCAACATTCACAAGATGCGCGAGTCGTTGGATGCGTTAAAGTGTCAGCAGAAACGTCGTTTGTGGTTGTTCTGATGCTGTGCTGTAACTAACTATGGGTTGTGTGTGTGTGTGTTTTCGGTTATGACGACACAGCGTTAGTCAGTCCTAGCAGTGTTGAAGACGGTGACAAGCATTACCACAATCGCCTCGAGAGTAAGCGTTGTCTTTCTTTGTCACTGAGTTTTGATTGACAGGACCTCACGCGGTGTTACTTTGCTTCGGTGTTGCAGATACCCGATGGTTAAAGCACGTGATGCGTGTGCTGTCAGGCGCTCGAAGAGTAGCGGAAGTGCTCCACGAAGACGGTGCTTCGGTGCTCGTGCACTGTAGTGACGGCTGGGACAGGACGCCGCAGCTCGCGGCGCTGGCGCAACTTATTCTAGACCCCTTCTATCGATCCCTCCGTGGCTTTGCCAGTCTCGTGGAGAAGGAGTGGTGTTCATTCGGCCATAAGTTTGCGGATCGAATTGGTGTGGGGAAGGACATCACGGACCAGCCAAATGAACGATCGCCCGTCATGTTGCAGTTTTTGGACTGCGTGTGGCAGATGACGCGGCAATTTCCGACATGTTTCGAGTTCAACGAGAAGTTTTTGCTGCATATTTCGGACTCGCTGATTTCCGGTCTTTATGGCACGTTCTTGTACAACTCGGAGCGTGAGCGCGTGCTGGACAAGGTGTGGGAGCGCACAGAGTCCGTGTGGACGCCCGTGTTAGAGAACCCTGGACCTTTCAAGAACCCCTTGTACCGACCAACGAACCGCGTGCTGTACCCTCGTGCGAACCTCAAGCGAGTCGTGCTTTGGGACGGCATGTTTTTCCGATGGGACCCGGAAAGCCACCCGGACTATATGGAGTACATGGACCCTGTGGAGAAGCCAGACGACGAAGCTTCGAACCACGAGTTTGATGACGACGGTAGTCCTCGAGACACTAGCGTACTTGATCCTCCGTCCGTAATGCCTATAGGTGGCGATCTGGAAGACAAGGTGGAATTGGATATTGACGTTATTCACGACTTTGACGAGTTCCGAGCCAAGACGCTGTCGGATTGCTCGGACATGAGCGACGACGACGACTTTGAGATCTCGCCGAATGTCAAGACACGGTACGATGGCATGTCATCATTGACATTAGACGAGTTGAACATGACGACATCAGCAACCAGCGAGGCCGACTCGGAAGGTTCGGTATCGGCTGAGAACCGTCTCCCAGTAGTGGACGAGGGTGTGCTGAGTCGGTACCACCGGGGCGTAGAAGAGCGCACGCGCCAGCGCGCACAGGGTCGCAACATCCGCGAGGCGCTGCTGCTGGCACCAGACCAGAGTCGCATCAAGTACTTGGAGCAGTTGCTGAGCGAAAGTGTTGCGCGGGAGCTGCAGCTTGAGGCAGAGCTGGATTCGGTGCTACACCGAGGCGTGCGGGTTTCAAGCATAGCGTCGAACGGTAACGCAAATGGTGTCGGGTCGAACAATGGCAGTAACGTAGTCGGCGGTAGTGGAAACAGCAACGAGACTGGCTCTGTAAGCAGTCGCAAGGAGTAGCGCACGCTTGAGCTACGGCAGCATGGGCTGCTGTCGTAGCCTTTCTTGTGCGTGCCTATTCCGCTTCTGCTGAGTGAGTTTGCGTGTTTCGGAGCGTGTAGTGGGCGTGGCTGGAGGTGGCATGTCGGGAAGAAAGACATGCGTACAGCATAGATTCGTAGTATAATATAGTCGACGGCACTTCGGTCTTGGATTGTGTGTGGTCTTGCGTTTCTGCAGGAACAACTGCTCGACTATTGGCCGGCAGTCGCGAACAAAACAACGAAATGAGTGGTGACGCGGACATGATGGCAGAAACAATGGGCTTCACGTCGTTTGGCCAGCTTCGTCGTCGCGGTCGTGTGAAGCAGGTTACAAGCGAGTCCATCAATGCACGAGGACTACCACAGCTGATGCCCGGGACGGAGTTGGTAGACAAGTGCACCGAGTTGTCTGTAGACAGCATTGAAAAGGGCCCCTATGGCGTCGTGTCTCTTTTGTGCAGGGATACGGACTTGGATGCAAGGGATCCGCTGGATGCAGCCCTGGATGGAACCGCGAGAGAGACAAGCGATGCAGAAAATTACGTCGTGCCGTACTCGTTGGTGCTGGACGACCTCGAGCAGGAAAAGCGCAAGTTTAACGGGATGGAGCACGCGCAGTTTATGCGTGCTCGCGGCTCGACAAATGGGTTCGAGCCACTGGGAAGACATCGGTTTTTGAATCGTTCAGCTATGAAGCTGGTGGCTTTGGACCATGTTTTCCAGTGGACATGCGGTGTGGTGGACCGTCGCGAACCGTTTAGTTTTGCGGATGTTTGTGGAGGACCAGGAGGATTCAGTGAGTATTTATTGTGGAGAAGTGCTTCTAGTGACGAGAATGGGGAACGTGAGCACGACCGTGGTCATCGTGGCTATGGGATAACGCTGAAAGACGCTGCAAATGAATGCGACTGGCGTCTACCTTCCAAGTACCGCAAAATGTTCACGAGCTGCTACGGCGAGGATGGCACGGGGAACGTTTATTCGGTTGCAAATGTTCACAAGTTCCGGGATGTCGTACGGGCACGACAGCCAAGTGGCGTGGACTTGGTGGTGGCTGATGGAGGGTTTCGAGATGCTCGGTCGCAATCCAACCAGGTCAGGGATCTCGATGTTGCTTGCATAACGGGTGAGGTGCGACTAAGTGTGGATTGTCCGACGTGATGTTACAGGAAACCATGATGACTAGATTGGTCGTAGCTGAAGTCATCGCCATGTTTGCGGTACTTCGCGTCGGTGGCGATTTTGTCTGCAAGACGTTCGAGTTGACGACGCCGACGATGCTGCAGATTTGCTGGACGCTGCATCATTGTTTCGGACGCTTTGCAATCGTGAAACCCATTGTAGGTGCCGACGTACTTGTTTATTTTTGGATCAAGCTAGCAACGACGTACTCACGTGTTGATCTTGTGTACAAAAGACCAGCCGCCCTGCGAGTTCCGAGCGATACATTGTTGCACGTGGTCTACGAGCAAGACGCTGCATACCGAAGCTTGTCAAGATCTTGGAAGATCAATTATCTCACGCAGGCAGCGTGCACGCGAGCGAAGAGTATCGCTTTCCTCCTTTCTTGCCGAATAGCACTCCCATGCGCGAAGATACGGACTTTTACAAGTACATGTCAACAGCAAATGAAGCCATTGCGATAAGCCAAGTCCACGCGTGCAAATGCATCAACAAGTTTAGCACCAGGAGACACAAGAGGTACGTCGCTCAGACTCGATCGCTTACCTCACTTTCAGCTTGACTTGATCAATGAAATGGTTGTGGCACAGGAAACGATGTGAAGCTGGTGCAAGTAGCATTGACCCCCACCAGTACTATCGATGCTGGCATCTTGGCTCAATGCCATGATGTGGCTCTGCTCGATAATGCAATGTACGTATTGTCACGGCGAGATTCTTTGCAGCAGTTGCCGGAAGAGATCGTTCGCGCCTTCGACAGAGTATACTCCGACGCAACTCACACGCACGCTCTTCTGTAGAACTCTGCCCAGCTTCCGTCTGCTTCGTGCATTAACATTCCGAGATCCAGAAGTTCATTCAGTATCGACAAGAAAGGCATGGAACGTCATGCAGGTCGAACCTGTTCATTGGCGCGAGTGTAGGCACTCCCTGTTGTGCTGCTATCGACACCAACTCGGCACGTTTGTCGTCAAGCACTTGACACTCATCTTGGTCTGCTGCCATGACAAGTAAACGGATTTTGCTGCAAAGAAGTCCTCGTCGTACTTCATGCATTCCAAGCACGAACCGTCGCGACCGTCTGCTGTGCCGTGGATTCTGCGTATGCGCGCGCTCCTGGACGATCGATCGGTCGATCATTTGCAGCGTCAGTGTTGACAACCATTCATCAAGGTTACTACAACTCGTGACGTACCTGAAGATCAGCAAGCCGCTTCAAAAGGCGACTAACAAGCTCCACCAGCTCAAGCGATTCTACAGCCTGCATTGTAAACGGTCAGCCACACTGTCGCGAGCAATTTGACATCATTCATCGGCGACAAGAAGTGCTACGACCTGACCGACCAGAGCTGCTACGCTGGATTGACCACACTCGAAAGGCGTCGAACTTGCTGGCAAACATCCAGTGCTCGATCCATCAACCACCTGCACCTCTTCACCGCTATCTTCATCACCGCCACAAGTCTCCGTCACAGCTTTGCTCGTCTCTTCCACCTGCACCTCATTTCCATGTCCAAGATCACGAAATTTCCTCCTCATCACGTCGTCGTCCACCGCCACCACCTCGTCAACCTGTTGCAGCTCTCTCAGCATCGAATTCCCCGATACCAAATCACTATCAAACATCTCCATACCGCTGCTCTTCTTCTGCTGTTCCCAACTGCACGTCACCAGGTTTCCACCAAACACGTTCCCATGGTACGAGCGAAAAGCTGCAAGCGCCTGTTTGTCATCCAGAAATGCCACCACAACGTCCCCGATACTTGAGACCCGTTCGTCAGCTGTTTCTCGCACAACATCGACACGTTGCAACGGTCCGAACTGGGAAAACGCTTCGTGCAGTTCGCTTTGCAGTTCCTCGATCTCGTCCTCATGTTCCAATTCTTCAACTGTTACCAGACCGCGAACTCGAAATCCACGTGCTTTTTCCAGGTCCGGACCCTGCTTGATGGCGATTTTCAGTCCTGATTTACGCGTTCGTCGCTTGGGGTTCAATGCGAAAGACGCACCGATTGGTTCCACGTGATCGAAGCTGGCAAAGGTCTCGCCTTTTCGACTCGACGACTCGGTTGGTAATTTTTTCCTGCGTCTTGTTCGCTGCGACTTTTCTTGCGTCACTTTTGCTGGTACTTGTGCCCAAAGTCTCGGATTCGCAGCTTCGATGTGCGTAAAGAGCGTCTCGAGAGCTCTCGCCGGCGTAGTGGCCATTGAATGCGTCGATGGTGTTTCAAGTGTATCTGCTTTTTACAACAGCATTTATACAGTGAGCGTCTGTAGCAGCACAGGTTTGATCAACCGAAAACAAGCGTCAGGACAGGACTTTTCGATGAAAAGGGGCAAATAATGTCCCGAAATTGCGGTGATCACACGCGACACAAGGGTGAAAAACTAGCATCTTCTTCTTCATATTGACAAGGACTCGACGACAAAATGGCAATGACGCATTACAAAACACACCTTCGTCTCAATGGAGTAGTGAAGAAACAACATACCGGACATTAAGAGCCTGGCCAGTATCGTCCTGCTACTCCAAGCACTTCATCAGCTGCTGACAGGCCATTGTGATCGATTCCAGACCTTCAGTTGCTGCATTTTCGGACAATTGCAACATCGTGGCGTAGATCACGTCAACATCCACTGAAGCTCGCAGAGTCTGGACACTCAACAGCGCTTCCATCAGCTCCAGTGTGACCACAACGAGATCCACGTCTTCTTCGTAAAGCGGCCATCGAATCAACGGGTCACGTAAAGTTTGCTTCACCAAGTGGGGGTTCGCCATGCAAAACGACACGGCATGAAGGAGCAGTTTATCCTCAGCACGGACTAATCCGTTCAAGACCATGAACGAATGCACGTTCTCAGAAGACACGACCGGTTTGAGCAAGAACTGGATGAACTCGCTGATCCAAGAGTAGGTTTCTACCTACACATTACCACGTTCACCACAAGAACCAATACACGACCTCATCAATCAACCTCGAACGAATACATCAACAAATGATCCCAGCAATGGGTGGTTGAAGTCAAAGCACAAACCTGGAAGTCGTCACTTGCAGCACACCCAACAAGGACAGTTGCCACAGCTTCAGTACGAAGGCGCAAAAATTTGCCCCACTGAGATCCGTCGAGCATCGAAGGAAGTAGAGGCAGTACGAGCTCGTTTGCGAGCGATTGGATGTCTTCACGGCAGGCTGCTGCGATTCGAGTGAGACCCGAGACAATCCGGTTGGCAGTGGACTGGGGATACCGATCGAGTTGATCTAGAGCTTGGCAAAGCGTCACGACAGCAACTTGTCGACCTGATATGTACTCTGTCCGAGCCTCCGGAACACTAGATCCACGAAGAGCAGCCAAGACGTCACCATATACACGAGGATCCGCAAGCGAACCAGCCACGTTGTGCAAAAAATCAACTTGAAGTTGAAGCAAAGCGGCCGCGTCTGGATGGTGAAGCCACGAGAGAAAAGCTTCGACAAGCGTGCGTCGAATAGTTGAGCAAGATCCTTTGATGCGACGCCGTTCGGTCACATATTCCTTGGGGAATAATGCTAATGCGGTCTGTAGTCAATACGGCCAACACAGCACGTGAACTCGAGGTACCATCGTAAAGTACTTCGTACTTGCACGTCAATTCGTTGTTTGGCTTACCTCGAGTCGAGGCATTACAGCACTCATCGCTTTATAAGCACTTTCGAGCGTGAATGCAGCAAGGTTCTGCTGGCAAAGACAAATGTCTCGGACCGACTCGAGTAGCGCATTGACAAAGTCAAAGTCAGGCTGTGTGGTCAAGCTGGCGTCGTTGAGTCTGGCGAGCCATTGACATCAATGACCAAAGCACGAGAAGATGAGATGTGGAGGAATTACGTGCCCCATTTGTACCTACGTACGCTTTTGTCATCTCGTCAAGCGGTGAAGTAAAAGGGATCGCGCACTTTGCTTCACTATCGACCTCAACGCCACTTGCGATCGTCCGGTACATAACGGCAAGTGCTTGAGCCGCCACCATTTTCCGAGCATCTACTTTTAGCCAGGAACAGAGCAACTGACAGCATTCCTCATCCATCTGCTTGGCAGCAGCAGTGGCCGACAGCTTCTTCGCTTCTTCGTCAACACGTTCCACTCGATCAGTCTTGGCCTCAGCTGCTGCTGCAAACATGACGTTACTATCCACAACCTTGGCTTCGTCTGCTTCCATCTCCTCAACAAATTCAGGGAGCGTCAGCAATGCAAACGCATTCGGAGACGTGTACGGAGCCTTAGCTTCCAAAAGCACTGCAACAGTCGTGGCCAATTCCACCTTGACGACTTCAGCTACTGCCGTCTCCTGTGTGTCCGCTCCTTCTTTGATCAGTAGCTGTTGAAGTCGCGGTAGGACCTACGAACACGGTTAACAAACCAGTGACTAGTGCTTAGCTGCCGTTGGCTTGACAGAAGAACATACCCATGCAAAACTAGCCAACAGGTCGCCACGTTACCTCTGTAATGATAACATCTTGAGCTGAAGCGTGTGTCTGCAATGCCACAGCCACGTACTCACACGCCGGACGCAAAAGTGTATTCAGACGCTGTGCGAGGTCTTGATCTTGCACACTCGAATCGTGAAACAACGAGAACAGCCATCTCAGTTGCTTCACCACGTCTCCAGTCGGAACGTCCTCGCCGAACGACTCGAGCACTCGCGTCGTCCCCATCAGCGCCACGGCTTTCAGTCTGCTGTAACTTTCATGTGTCCATACTGGATACCGCAACACTGTCTCAAATGCATCACGGTAACGCTGCAACACCGGCCCCATCGCTTGTCGCTCCGTCACGTATCGAACAGCCTGCCACACAAGACAAGCACTCAGCAAACAGCGCAAAAAAACCAACGCTCGCAGCCGTAAACAGCCTCATGCTCGTTCCTCGATTCGTACCAACGATGCAGCAGACAAGAGCGTGCCGAGCTCCACTTCGTGATCCAGAATCAGTGGCTCAGCATGTGGCGGAGAAGGTAGCACCTCCTCGACAGCATCATCCAGTTCTTCAATTACTTGCAACAGGAACGTAAACGCAGCGTCCACGCCCACGCTTGTCGAGTGCACGCGCTCCTGTACCAGAGCTACAATAGAAAAAAACACACACACAGACACAGACACAGAGATCCTGGTAAATAGCCACTACGAAACCACTACAAACAGCTGCAAGGACAAGCAGAACCAGCTGCAGGTCATCAACGTACCGACGATTTCTTCAGCTTGAGCGCCCAGGAGCGAGTGGGCGAGACTGCGCGGCATCACGCGAGGCGGAGGAATGGACCCCGTCGGATCTTAGCGGAGACTCTAATTGGTTGGCTGCTAGGCACAGCTGAAGGGGCGGCAGAAAGGGCGGCAGGATTCACAAAAACGGGTCAGGGGCGGAGAGTGCGCGGTTTTGTTCCGGATGGCTCGATGATGTCGACCTGCCCCGTCTCTTGTCACCGTGGACTTTTTGGTCAGGACTATTTTCTCGGGTCGCTCGCAATACACCTACGTTTAGTGCTAATACACCTACATTTAGTGCTAACTACACCCACATGCTTCGTAGACCATTAAGCTCATTTAAATGAACCAAACGACCAAACGCTGAGAGATGAGCCACTATTTAGCAAGACAACATCCAATTTATTCGAGCCCTCCGTTGATTTAACATTACACCGACATCCTGCATGTGGCAGAATGCACCACTTTTCATCGTCTTTCTCTCTTTAGTTTTGAGGGTTGTCGATTAGTGAGCGCATTGGCATGCCGCCATGATGACGATAAATTATGAGCCAAATCGGATAAAGGCGAAATCATCGTGGTCTCGGTGAAGACTCTGCATTCGTTCTCACACATGGATCCTTTAAGATGCGTCTTGGAGTGGTTGTGGACATCACTTGCTATCGTCATTATGTTCGTCTCCTTTAAATGGTTTATTAGTCTGGAATAAAGTATAGGTACGGCACGTGTAAAATGTATCCTAACATCATCACATTTGTGCACGTTACTGTGCAGCAGCTACAGATGGATACATCTAGACAAATGCAGCCTTCACAGCGTACGCTTGACGGTACGTATTCGCCTACGAATAGGCAGAGACGTGTGCATAGAAATCGACTGCACCTCGTTTCTATCCGTATCTCGTAGAAATGACCCACCTATCACATCTATAGCGTCAGCAAGCCGATACTCGAGATTCATTGACGTCATCGGCAGTGGTCCATGTCGCATATTTCGACGAGCGAGTTGACGACCGACCAGATCCACCCACGTTGAAGTGCGTCTCGTGGGAACCCGTGGGTTTCGGTGCTTCATCACGCACACCGCGTGGAGACGGGACGGACGAGGTGAAGGAAGACCTGGTTGTGTAAGCAGATGAAGACGCTGCGACGCTTTGCCACAGTGGCTAGCCAGATCGCCGCATCGAGCCGCCCCTGGCGCAGGAGGAAGTGCTCGCACGAGACTGGAAAGAAAGCACGGTCGATACGACGATAGGATGTTGCTGAAGTATCGCGGTTTCCATCCATAGAAAAAGAAGGTGTGGCAGATCAGATCAGGTGTATACAGCCTATAGAAACAGATGGGACGGTGGTAGTGGTAGTGGTCGACCTTTCAGCTGACAATACGCGACAGAAGAGACGTGACGCTTCGATGATTACCCTTCGATGCAATGACGAGCCTGTCTGCCAATGTAACCGTCGCGCTCGCCTCGTCTGGCGTGACTGGCTCAATCCTGGACCGTCTCGCTTAAGTGCGTCGAAAGTCCCATTTGCGCGAGTCGAGTCGACCTTATAAGGAGCTGCTCGCGCGTGGAGCCAATTGGACGATGGGAAAAAATGGAACGACGTGCTCGCGTGTCGCAGCACCGAAGCAATCAAAGACTCCACGAAACAGTCAGTCAATCACTCAATCAGTCGCTCGCTCGAGCCGTGAATCAGGTATACATTCAGTCAGTCAAAACACGAGGAGCTACGAAAGTAGCAGCTAAAGCCGAGCCCGAGCATGACGTGGGGAGGCGTCAAGATCGAGCGAGACGAAGACGTGGCGCCGCCCACAGAGCCCGAGGACCGCTGTCCGTTGCGGATCCGCGTGGCCACGGCGTCGCCTTTGTCGTCGAAACGGGCCGCTTGCTGCCTGGAAGACGCGCTCGAGAGCAAGAAGGACGCGTCGACAACAAGTGGCGGTCTCGAAAGGCCGCGAAGAGAAGGGGACGCGGCGCTGTTTCTCGAAAAGACGTACGCGCTCTTGGCCCGGTGTCCGCCGGAGCTCGCGAGCTGGACGGCCCAAGGCGACAGTTTTGTCGTGAAGCAGCCTGCAGAGTTTGCGGAGCACGTGATTCCCGCGTACTTTAAGCACTGCAAGTTCAGTTCGTTCGTGCGGCAGCTGAATCTGTATGGGTTCAAGAAAGTGCGGACGGTGGGAGGAGCTGTTGGGGTGCTGGACGGGGCGATGGACCACGCTGGAAGCAGCAGAGGAGGACTCGTGACTGATGGGGATGCTGCTGCTGCTGCTGGAGCTCGACAAGACTCGAGCGAGTGGTGGGAGTTTCGTCACGACCGCTTTGTGCGTGGTAGACGAGATCTGCTCGGTGAGATTCGAAGACGCTCGCCTTGTGGGGCGAGGGCCGTGACACCTCGGACGTCTCTTGGTTCTGCTGCTGCTGCTACTGCTGCTGGTGGTCTGATGAGTCCTGTGGATCGTGTGGAGTTTGAAGACCTGAAGTTAGAAGTTGGCGGACTGCGGGATGAGATGCGCAAGTTGCACTGGACGAACCAGCAGCTCACGGGGTTGTTGCAAGCGCTGCTGCAGCGCTGCCGTTGTGCCGAGCAAGATGAGAACAAGAGTGGCGATCGACATGACTATACCCAGCAAGCTGCAGCCACCTACGTCGCTTCTCCATCTGTTGCAGCTCAAGGCCAGCGCGTGTCGCTGCCATCGATAACGATACCAAGTTCAAACACAAGTGCCAGTGTCGTGGGACCGCAATTAGCTCTACTGCAGCTACGTCAGGGACATCAAGGACCGAATTCACCACGTGACGGTAGTGTCCGGACCCCTCGGACTCCTGGTTCAGGACCTTTTCAGCTGCGACCGCTGCAGACGCTCATGGCGAATCGAAGCCCGGGCTGTCGACACGCTTCGAGTTCTCGACTGAATCGTAGTTTCGTGGGCACGCCTTCATACGGTCAGGAACAATTGGACAGGGGCCAACAGCGCTGGTTTCGACATACTTCATCACATGGCCAGCCATCGCCGTCAACATCTCGCTCACCGCTGAAGCGTTTACGCGTCGATTCTGCTACTTCTGTTTCGGAACCTCCGATAAGTTACGGCGTGTACTCTCCGGAGGACATGGCTGTTCGTGAGCTGAGTCGCATTGCCTCGGAGATCCGAAGTGACTTACTAGCTTGTATCACGGCACGTATTACAGGATTTTTACGCGTGCACTGCAACCAAGCCGATTCAAGACGAGATGCTGATGTTGATGCTGTGGGAGAAGCTGTAGGTTCGGATATCCGTTTGAAGCTGGGTCAGTTCCAGACCACTTCTCAATCCGATCCAATGCTCTCGGATGTGGAAACAATGTGCATGTATCGTGTGGAGATTCTCAAGTTCATCTCGCGCGAGTTGCCACGTGCTGTTCAAGAAGCGATTGACAAGAGGATGCTACCACCTGAAAGACTAAAGCAGCGCTCGGCAAAAGATCGGTCGCAGTTGGCTTTGTTGGTGCAAAAGGCACAGAAAGCACTTGAACAGCAAATGCACACGGAGACTTCTTTGTATTCTACAGGACGTCGATAGGTGTGTGAGGAGAAGTAAATTGATGTCGGCAAGTCGACGGCAAGCAAGTACGTCGTGTTGATACTTACAAGCAGCGGTTGAGAAAGCGATGCGTCACCTCGCACAGCGTCCGATACATCAATCAATCGTCGTAACAAACGAGGAGGGCTTGGTCGTGCAGAAGCTCGAACGGATAGAGCTTGTCTCGGTGTAATGGCATGATTTGATGGACGACTGCTTGGTATACTGGACAAGCAAAGATGAGAGACAGCATTGCTGTGGCACAGTGGCAGATCGCTTGCTGTAAAGAGCAGGCCTGCTCAATATGCAGCTGTCGAGCTGCCGTCTGTTTCTGGAGTAACCACAAGGTTGATTGCTGCTGCGGAAGTCAGAAGTTCTAGTCGCTCGATGCGCGACGTTAGTAGCGGATGCAACGTGTCACCCAAGTAATTGCCGCTTGCTGTGATCAGTCTCGTGTTCGACATTGACCGGATCTCGTGGTTTCGAGAGAGCTTCCGTTGGAAGCACGTGATGCCGCCACGAGCAAAGCCAGATTCGGCAGCTACTTGATCAGCTTCGTGCTCCAAGCTCCACGATAGACACAAGTTGCCACCGATCATGCCCAGTATACCAATGACTCCTGCAAGCAATTTGTTTGGGATCGTTTGAATCGCCACGCAACTGCCAAGAAACGACGCTGGAAGAAAAGCACCTGCATAGACTGCATGGTTCTTGGCAAGATGGGCGCTCTCATGTGCCAGCACAAAGTCAATCTCGTCCCGTGTCGGGATGTCGTACTTCTCGTGCAATTGTGGCGGTGCATAAAACACATCGTAGAGCTCCATGGGCAGCACAATGCACGCTCCTCGCTGACCGATGGTGAGATTCGATCCCATCGAAGCTCCAGCTGATCGCTCGCCTACCCGAATCGAAATCCGTTCCGGGTGCTTGACACCTACCCGTGCAGCAATTTGTCGCACGTTCCTGGCAAAAGGATCATCACCGTCGAGTTCATGTGCGTCCAAGCCTTGAGCCAGTTGTAAAGCGTGTGAGCTCGTGGGATCGACAACGGAGTATGACGTGTATCCACAGAGCACGAGTGCCGAGACGCCAATGAACCGTTTCGAGCGCAGCGCTGATGTCAGGAACTGGATTGTGGCTCTCCTGCTTCTTCTGTTCCATACAGGAGCTGCTACATGCGGATGTTGTGGTTGTGGCAATGGTGCAACTTGCATCCTATCGAGCTGGTTCCTGTGCTATAGCACTTTTTGTATCAAGAGTCACTTGTCCACTATGAAGTGCTCTTTTTGACGAGTATACGTATCACTGGTGCTTAGCAGCTACTGCAGAGACTTTCAGTCTCAATCGATGGGCAGGTCCACTTCCAACCTGGCTGTCCAATTGAAAACTGAAGGTAATACGAGTCAGTCCCTAGTTAATTGTTGACCACGTGATTGCCAGTCAAAGTATCGAACGCAATGAGGATTTTCGGTCGCAGTCGCTTCTTTTTCGAAACCCAGTTCGTATTGCACGACGTTCGATGACGCCACAATAGTAACGGTCGTCGTTTCTATTGGCTACGAAAAACAGGGAACTGGATCTACGAAATGTACCCATGGATGGTGTTCTACTTTGCAGTTGCAGCAAGTCAGTAGAATCATATCGGAGACTGACCGCCAGACAATTTGCGACTACTTGGCTGAGCTCTGAACGTCCGCTTTGCCTGCTTTGCTGCAATACGGACAGTGCTTATTGACCACGTAGTCCGGGGAGTTTTGTTCCTCTTCCGTGAGTGGACTCCGGCAGACAAAGCAGCAGACGATCGTGGCCTCGGTGAGATCTGGTTTCAGCGCCACGCGGTCGTCGAAAATAAAGCAGTCGCCCTTGTAATGAGCATCGCCGACCTTCTCAAAGTACTTCAAGATACCGCCGTCCAGCTGATAGACTTCCTTGTGCCCGTCGTTCAGCAATGCATACGATGCCTTTTCACATCGCACGCCACCCGTGCAAAACATGACAATTGGCTTCTCCTTGGGCACTTGCTGTAGTTGAGTCCGTGCTTCGGTAAGGAAGGCACGAAAGGATTTGAGGTCAAGATCCACAGCGTTCTCAAACGTGCCTAAGCGAACCTCGTAGTCGTTCCTGCGATGAAAAAAACACAGCAACAAAATAGCCCCCGATCGTCAGTCTTCTGCCCCCCCTGACCACCACCTGTGACTACACGGTCACCAGAGCATACCTCGTGTCTAAAATGAGCATGTCTTTGCCATCATCCATCCACTTTTTAAACTCTTCCGGTGATACGTGAGCTGCCAGTCCGTCCATTGCAGGATTGACTTCAGGCCTCCCCATAGAAATGACCTCTTTCTTGATCTTGACCAACATCCTGAGCATCGTGAGACGATTGGAGTACGAGTCCTTGAACTCAAGTCCGCGGATCTCCGAAGCAAGACCGGAGATGGCACTTTTCATGGCAGTGATCGCAGCCAACGTCCCTGATAGTCGAATGTTCACCCCCTCCGTCGATAACAAAATCGTTCCTCGAAGCTGATCCAGCCCAAAACGCGCTGCAACTTGCAAGAGGTGCAACTTGATCAATGGCAATTGCTCGGCGGGAAAGACGCAGAAGCCATAGGCCGACGAGTTCACATACGTGGTACTGCCGGACTGCTCTGGCTGTGATGATCGTGTCGCCATTGCGCTCAAGTCTCTCGACATTTTACCGACTGCTGTTTTTTGTACAAAGTACAGATGTAGCCATTTGACCAGCGACTGGAGGTCAGCCACGCACGGTTTCAAAGTCTCCGCTACACCTGGACAGAGTGCAATATTTTGCAGCAGAAGATCATGCAGCTGCTTGTTTTGGCACTTCAGCTGCGGTCTCACGCTCGTTAAACCCGCTCGTAGTGCTGTAGTCTCTATTGCTTCGGATTTGCGCGCTTCAGATGCTGATGTTTACAGTGGTGGAGAGACGGCATGTCAAGATATGCTGTAGACAGCACTGGAGGTCAGCCACGAACGTCCTGTTGTCAGTTGACAGTACAGAGGGACTGCGTGCTACGTGGATAAAAGTGAAGACGGTATTGGTCCTGTCTTGAAGCTGCTGGTCCACGTAGAAGCGTGTCAACGCTTGCCAGTTTATGACGAAGCACGAATCCAGCAGGTCGAAGACTGGCTGTCCCGTGGATGCACACAGTACGGTTGCCTTGCCGATACATGACACTTGCATGCAGCCACAGAACACCTCTAAAACCAGTGCAGCTGGAGACTCTGGAGGAACTTCTGGCTGTCCTTATCGGTCACTCGATGCATCAACTCTTCCTTTGTTCGAGGCAATCGACTAGTCTTGCCGCCGTCTTTGGCTCGAAAAGTATCAAGAACCTGGCTCGTGGCTGCCTCAATCACTTGCAACTCGTGCTCGTGCGTTGCCATGTACTGGCCAAATGCTTCCGTATGCACGTGGGAGTCACGTAGGGACTGCGTCCACTCTTGCTCATGCATCAACTTGAGCAAATGTCGACGAAACGGAGCAGAGCGAAGAAGCTTCGTGACCATGGACCTGAACAGCACGTTCTCTTTGTCACTTGACACTCGTTCTACTGCCGCTGCGTTCGCAGCACGAGATCGATGATGGCAATGACGGTAAAAAGCGTCACTTTCAGCTTTGAAACGCGGTCCTGGGGAATGGTACAGCCACGTTGTCAGAGCGTAACGGGGTTGAAATGCCGGTATCACGCGGTGCAGCATTTGCTGGGATGAAAAGAGCACCAGTGTACCCAATTGTGGCTGCACCACAACACGTGATCTTGGCACCACTAATGGGTAGAGCACAAGCTCTCCGCCATGTTGGGGCTCCCATCCCTGGTTCAAATAGAGCACCGCCGTCACGCACTTGCCGTCGTCTCCGTACGTATCAAAGTGCAGTGGGAAACAAGCACCTTGACCGGCATTGTACTGGCCTTTGATCATCTGACCCGAAAGTCCGAGCCACGTCGGTAACACATGTCGCAGCTTTGTGGATACCACTTGTTGGTCATCGAAATCGTTTAGAAACGGGGTAGCGGCTGTCGTGTCCCGAATTTGGTCCAGTAGTGCCAACTCGATTTCCCAAATATCGCGTTTCTCCAAAAGTAGCGTTTTCGTTGTCGTGTCACTTGTGTTTGTTTGCGTCGCTTTTTGTAAAATGTGCGTTGCGTTCGGCCACAAGTGTCCACTTTTGTGCAACGTTTCCATTTCGTGACGCAAACGAGTGAGGTATTCGACTGGTAGCGCGTCGGGCACGACGCAATAGCTATCGAACATGAGCCTTTCTGTTACTTCAGAAGATGCGGACGTATTCCATTGAGCATTTGCTCGTAGTTCAGCAGGACAGCGCAATTGCAGTGACGAGAACGTCGAGTAAGGACGACGACTTCGACGCTGAAGTAGCAGCATCTTTTGAGTCACGACAAAAGACCTGTGCATATGCGATAGTGTAGTTTTTAATCCCTTTTTTGCCGCATCGTTGTTATTTTGGACCCATTTCGACATGACCCACTTCGTCCCCAGTGGCGTGATCGAGAAGGCGTCACTTCACGACATGATGTAAGAAGATGTCGTGCTGTTGTTGTTGATGTTGATGTGAAGGTTCTATTTTCTTGCCTCTTTCACAACGACTGGACGGGAAAAGTCGTCATACTTGGTGGTACAAATTTTGTCTAACAATGTGGAGCATGTAGTTACGCAGCGTGCCCGCAATGCTTTACATCCATGACTTTGCAGTTGACATCGAGTGGACGACCAGGTACCGAAGTAGTGCGAGTACAATGTTCGTCCTGTAGCAGATTAAGTACCCGGGACGAGTTGCAATTCAAGTACCGACTGAAGGTATGTTCACCTCACTGGTCGGACACTTTTAAGGCCTCCTCTTTTTCTCCGAGTTCGACCTCACTTTACTGCTCGAAATGCAGCTCCAGCTTCAGTTTGGAGTAACGATTGCCGACGCCATGATGTTCGACGAAGTGGCGGAATCGCTGCTTGGGGTCCCAGCTTGGCGGATGAAACGCGAACTGCTCCCCCAGTACCCAAACTTGCCTGCAGTGCTAGAACAATTACTGGTCGGACTGCGTGTGTCCTTTTCTTACCAGCAGCCACCTCCCAAGCGTACTGCCAAGCAAGGACTGTTCACGGTACAACGTTACGCACATTCGTAAATGCTACGAGAGACGCGCGCTAACGTTCGATCGTGACATCCACGTGTTGTGTTTTCTATGGCTTGTTCATCAGCGCGACCTCAAGATCATGAAGATCGAGCCACTGCTGCCGCAGCTTCTACCAGAGCCAGCAGCACTATTCGCTCTCAAGTTCCTGCAACAGCACTCCAGTGCTGATCTCGTTCATCCCTAGCTAAAGCAAGAACGTTTGGTAGATAAATGAGTACGCACAACTTTGCAGTCATCTGGTGACAATTAATTCCGCAATGGTGCTTCCTACACAGTCGTACAAACCAAAATCAGCCCCTTCGATCGTCCACCCTCAAGCCAAAGTCTCTGTTTTTGTTCGACCGCGTGGCAACAGTCGTACAAAAAAGAGAACGCCCCGACCGCACACCATAATCACGCTCGCTGTCCCACACCAATTGTCCCCGCTGTGTTTGCCTGTGAAAACAATCGCTCTCCGCATACTTCCGCCTCAGCCGCGCCATCCCATTGGTCAAAACTCAGTCGTGCTGCACGTTTGCCTCCGCTTCTTCACTCCTCGACCCGAGCGACGCACGTCGTGGCCGCGCTCCTCTCGCTCTCCACCCCGGGGCTCACTCGACATGGCACAGACGCGCACACCTGCACCGTCTCGCACTGGCGCTTCGCCTCACGTCGTTGCTCGCAATTTGCTGCCGTCGTCGTCGTCGTCGTCGTCTTCTGTCGCTGTTCTTAGTCATACTAACAGGAGTACTCGTCGAAGTAGTAATAGTAAAAGTAGTACTAATACTACGACCAATGTCACTGTATCTCCGTCCATTACAGACGGACGCAAGGCCGAGAGCAGCAGCAGAGATCCACGAGCAGGACGAGAGCCCAAGGACCAAGTTTCGTCGACAGTCTCCACTGCGTCGTCGACCACGGGACCGTCTGCAGTTGAAGGCCCTGGACGGACGCGTGAACACGAGACGCCTTCGGGTCAATGGCTGGACAAGGAGATGAAGCACTCAAGACGACGGCCAGTGGGGAATTCGTGCCGTTCCAGTGAGTCGAGACGTCATCGATCAAGAGACGGTCGTGCTGAAGTCGTAGCATCTCAAGCCAAGGTGGCTCCAGTGGTCAAGACAATGACTGAGTCGCCACCGGCGACTTATTTGTCGTCGTCTTCAGGTGGTGAGCACCGAAGTGACCGAGATGAGACGCCAACGCGGCGAGCAGGACACCAGAGACAGCATCACCAGCACCAGCAACATGATGCTGCTGGTGTGACGATGAAACCGTCTCGGATGGTTGTGAAACGACGGGCGACCGTACCTTCGTGCAGCAATAGTGAGACGCATCGGCCGTCGTCACGGTCGACGCACATGCAGTCGTCACTTGGAAATGTCAATGAAACAGAAGCCACTGGTGGTAGCTTGCAGGTTGTTTCGAGCAGTCCACGAGTTGGAACTACAACCGGGACGACCGGCAGCTTGGAGAAATGGCAGATCCGATTACAGCGCTCGCTCTCTGGAAATTCGAGTGGCACGGACGATGAACGTCATGGTCGCGATCCATCGTCGTCGCAGCGGTTGTATAGCAGTCGCCATAGTCGGCAGCTGATGGAGAGCCCACCGCCACCAGGTCAAGTAGCAGCAACAAGCCGGAGAAGACGCGGAAGCGACTCGCCCTCACTGGACCAGACCAAAACACGAGTCCGTAGCTCGGCGCTTGGATCGACACAGCCAGTATCACCAGGGGGCAGTGGAGGGCTACCACCGCCTCCGCCTCCTCTATCGTTATCTTCTGATGTGCAAGACTCTACCACGCCTCGTACGTCGGCACGCAAAGTTGTGCATTCTGGCGAGATTGCAGCAGGTGACTGCGATGCTACGCCAAAGCCTCGGCCTGTTCGTATACGCTATGAAACTCCAGACCGCGGCATGGGTGGCAAGCGGGAAATCTCGCATGCATCACTTGGCAAACTGATCGCTCGTCTTACGGATGCCCATCAGTATGACATAGAGTTCCGTGACGTGTTTCTGCTGACGTATCGTTCGTTCTGCTCGCCGTACGACTTTATCAAGAAGCTACTGAAGCGGTACACAGCTGTGTTGTCTCTGTGCGGGGGCATCGATCCGGAGATTATCAAAGAAACGCAGTTGTTACTGGATCAAATTACGCTAGAAGAGAAAAGTGAGCAGCGACCCTCGAATACGACATCGATTTCGACGGCGCGATCTGACATCGCTACAGGAATGGAGGCAAATGTGTCTATCATGCGGTTGCTGAGTGTGCTAAAATTCTGGATCAAGGAAAGTGGTTTCATCGACCAGGATCTTGCCAACGATCGTAGGGCCCAGAAGAAGCTGATGAATTTTCTTCGCGAAATCCGAAACACGTCGCCCATTCCATCCATACGACGGCACGCTGAAAATCTACTGCTAACGGTCGCCCAGCTGTTGTCATCACAAAAGCAGCAAGCTCACGCCCAGGCAAGAGCGCAATCTCATGGTCAAGCGCAAACTCATGCCAAAACCCAGTCTCAACGTGCGACCTCGAAATTACTTCCAGTACCGGCCCTCGTGACTTCAGCCTCAGTTTCGGCACTACCTGACAAGTCATTCCCGACTTCAGGAGGTGGCGTTGGTCAGGACTCCCGAAACGTAGTGGCGCTAGCACTTGCACATCAGCCTGGTGACCGCGGGGTTTCACATTCTCGTGTGCGGTCACATGCTACAACCAAACTAGCCTTGCCGCGATCGTCGTCAGACCCCAAGCGTGAGCGATCTATGGTAAAACTCCGCACCAAGATTTCCAGTGGTGATATTTTTCAGCTGCGAAGTCGGTCAATCCCCGTTGCGGCGGGTGACCAGATGGTAGCAGCAGCGGCAACGAACGATCGCATGCTGCGCGAAGGCGTTCAGCAACAGAGCGTTGTACCCAGTGCCGCTGCAAAGGCGCCGAAAATCTCGCGAGGGGTTACTACTGGTAGCGCTGAAGCCGCCATTAGAGTGAACACTAGTAGCAATGGCACTGATGACTTTTTTGACGAGATCATTCAGGATACGTTGCAACGCGGGAGGCTAACGGCAATATCGCGTAAAAGCGCACGTATTGGTTACGATAATATGGATCCCCTGTCCGGCTTGTCTGCGCAGGAGATTGCTGATCAGCTCACGTTGATGGAGGCGGATCAGTATTTCTCGAAACTGAACCCACGGGAGCTGACGAACAAGGCGTGGACGCGTGAGAGTAAGCACTCCGAAGCTCCTCACGTGATGGCTTTGATTGAGCTCTTTGATGCAACAGCAGAGTGGGTATCGAGCGAGATTCTGCACCCACAATTGCAGGCCGTTGAACGTGCGAAAGTGATTACGCTTTTCATCGATGCAGCCGACAACTGCTATCATATGAACAATTTCAACACGCTTTTCGAAATCACCACTGGACTCTCGGCGCCATGTACTCGACAGCTTAACACTACGTGGAGCCTCGTTACTGCAGCTACGCAGGAAAAGTATCAGTGCCTGCAGCAGGTATGCTCGCCCGATGACAACTACCGGAGCTATCGTCAAGCGTTTGCTTTGGCCGAAGGTCAGCCGCGGCTTGCTTGTTGGTTTATCTTCGTGAAGGATGTGTTCACGTATGAGGAATCCATGAAGTCTACGGAAGGTGGACTGGTGAACTGGCAGAAGTTCCGCAAGATCTATCGCATCATCAGCGAGACACTGGATCGTCAGAATTTCAACTACGTGCCTGCTAGCTCCAGTAGTGCCGGCGCTGGTAGCAATGGAACGAACACAAACGGCATTCCCAGAAAAGGTCGCGGCACTTTGCGGCACGAGAGAAGGACGCAGGCTCATATCCGCCACCGAGTTGACACGTACGTGTCCTGTATGTTGTTTTATTCGGTTGTTTTTTTTTCGGAAGTCAACCATTAATCTCGTTGTGTCTGACATTGCACAGCATTCGGAAAGACAGCTCTGTGCTCTATCAGCTGGCCCGCAATGCCAATACGCAGGAGAGTATTTTATTTGTAAACAGTTTGTCGGAGGCAGGGTTCCTGTGATCGAGATATCATCCGAGAAGGCTTGCGCTGCTATCGCCCCACGGAACGGTGGAACATCCGATCGAGGATGTTCAATGTCAGCTCTGTCGTCGCAGCTACCACTCGAGTCAACATGCTATCCGTATTGTACAAAACCTTGTTCGACGTTGCAGCAATCGTGCTAGTCGTGTTCATCCACACCACGCAAGGAACGCACAGCGTCTTGTAGCGTAACCCGTCACGTCTACAGGAAGACGACATAGCTGTAGAAAAGCTGGTTTGTGCCGAGCATCGGTCATTCGTCATTTCAATCGCTGTCAGCTGTCGATGTCGTTCGAAGGTCCACTCTACATCTTGCCCCTCTTCTCTTCACCCCGCTGCCCGTCATCCGACGCTGCTTTACGTTTCTCACCATACACCTCTCGTTTCACATGCATTGCGTCCTCCTTCCCCCTCGCACGTGATCTGTCATCATCACTCTTGTCCTTTTCTCCACTAGCTACCGCCTCCACCAAGTTCTGATCCCGCAATGCATGTGTTCCTTTCTTGCTCCACTCGTCCATCGTCTCTGTCCGAGGTCTCGATATATCAAAAAGAGTCTTCACCACCACACCCACCCGAACGTCGCCTTCTTCTCTACTCTCGTCCAACGTCATCTCCACTTGTTGATCCCGCCACTTGTACAGCTCATCCAGGAAATCATCGCGTTCCACGTCCTTGGCTCCCAGACTCATCTTGTAGTCCATCGACATGCCCAGATCCCACATCTTGAACCCAGCCAAGTACAAGAACTTGCTCAGTGCATGCAGCTGCACCGTGCCTGCTCCATTGGCTCTGCTAAAGCCCGTCAAGCTCGTGTAGACACTGCCCACAGTGTAGCCAAGTTCACCAGCCACGAGCGTCTCCGTGGCAACATCGTAAATCTCCACTGTAACCAGCCGGACATTTGGTCCAGGACACGACTCCACACGGTGCTCTCCAGCATCAAATAACGTCTCAAAGCTCTTGACCAGCGGCGGATAAAGCCACGGGATCCCGTGCTTCTCGTGACAACCAGCGACAACCGCGTGGAAGTTCCGATTAAGTACGAATTTATACTTCTTGGCTTTCTTCACCATGCTCTTGGGTACGTGCTCGGGCAGTTCTGGCTGGAAAAGCAAGACACAGCGCTGTTTATGGAGTTTCGGCAGTAGAAAACACGTCTCCCGGACGTCCGAGGCGATGGGCAGGAAGCCTGCGTACATGAGGTGGCTCAGAAGCAGCGGATCGAAGTGGCGCGAGACGTAGAAATCGTCCTGCGAGTGGAAGACGAAGGGCCGCAAGTGCACGGGGATGTAGTCGGCCGCCGCGCGCGGCGTCGCCCGGGACGGCGGCATGGTGGAATCGCAATCGTGGATTGGCTAAAAGTGGACTGTGCGTGGATCTGATTGGAGGATAAGGACCGAGACGGCGACGAACGCCCGTTGAGGAGTAGGTGATCCGTTTGTGCGTTTCATTGAGGCAGACGGTCGGGGAAAAAAAACCCCATGGTTAGAAATGAAGTGGACGAGAGACAGGCACAGGCGGAGACGGGTTTCTAAATTCCGTGAGGACGGCGGTCAGATGCGACAGGGTCTAGGGGTCGAAGATTAGATGGAAGGGACGCGTGCTGCTGACTCGCTGGAGAGGCGCTGGCCTTTCTTTTTTTGTGTGTGGACAATCCACCTCGAAAGAGGCGACGTCGTCGTCGTCGTCGAGTTGGCCGTGACTTTCTGGATAGGACGACGTTCCTCACGAGTGTAAGTTCGACGATGACTCTGCGCGTGGTTTCCGTTGTTGTTGTGTAGTGGAAGCAGTGCCGACTGCGGCAGACGTCCCAGTCTTCCTGGCGTCCAGTGGTGTGTCACATAGTGAAACGACGTCTGACCTCGAGTGTCTGTGTCCCACCGAGCGGGTTGCGAACTGAACTGTTCGAGTGCCCATCTGGCTGAGACATGATCGAAAAGGACCGTCGCTGCGCCGACCCCTACTCTTGCCGCGAACAGCTCGTGCGATCGTCAGCTCGGAGACACACGGAGGAGCCAAGCAGATGCTGCGGTCGGCATTCTTCTCATCTCATCGTTTTCGTGCCATATGCACCGGCAGGGAACCGCTCACGCACGCACGCACTCGATCCGAGAGACAAACGAACAAAAACACTCTGGGCGTCCGAGCACAGACCGGCCGCCTGTTTCCGGACACGGTGTGGGAGATCGACAGAGCTTGGGGACGAATCTCGTAGATCGCGTGCTTTATCTGCTTCGCCACTTTATGGGCACAGCAGAACCGCCGCTGGGTGTACAATGACGAGGGAACAACCGCCGACCGAGCGAAATCCAAAGTGCGACAAAACAAACTGCCTGCTTCGACAGCTACAAGCTGTAGCAGGCAGGGAACACCAGTTCAATTGCGACGAGGATGACTGTATCTTTTCTTGCGTCTCGCGACGGAACTCTTTTTTCATCTTCGTTTCTCCGCGACTGTTTACTCAATGTATGACCCTGGACGGCCGCTCACACCACCGGTAAGGGTGCTCGAGCGGCTAGAGACTTTTCCAGCAATCGTGTACGGTAAAGGTGATGAGACAGCCAACAGGCTGTCTCTCTCACAAACAAACAAACAAAAACAGAAACAAGCGAGCAACTCACACACGCACACACGTTAGAAAAACGGTGACAGCAACCAGGTTATTGCTTTTTGAATCCAGTCTGCACTCGCTCAAAGCACAACCTTATTCGGTTGCAAGCATGGCTACATCACAACGACTCCGGCACGCGACTCAGGTGACAGCATGCTGTTTCTACTACTGCTACCGTCTTATCGCAACTGTGTTTCTACTACTGCTACCGTCTCGTCTAAACTGTGTTTATGCTAGCACAACGCGTCTACAGTGCGCACTCCGTTCCCTACCCCTGATCAAAGAGGCGTACTGAACTGTCGTGGAAAGCCACAGACAAGCACACAAACACACAAACACACAAACCCAAAAGTCACACGCCCCTCCCCCACCCACAACTCCACTCTCCACAGTCCAGACCGACTCAAAAAGAAAGAGCGAGTCAAATCGTCCTGTCCAGATTACGTATCGCACACAAACTCCCAGTTTCTGTTTCGTCGAGGCAGGCAGGCAGACAGGTACGCCAGCGCCGGCCGACCGCAGCAGTCAGTCAGTCGCGCCAGACCTCGTACGGCCAGCAAAGCCAAGTCTCCCCTCCCTCACTCTCTCACTCTCTATCTCTCCCTCACTCACGCTTGTCTTCCTCGTGTGCCGCAGCGATGGGCACGCGGCCCGGGACCGACGACGACGAGAGGGACGACCGAGAGCGCGTCAAGACGACGGACAAAGACGTGGCGAGTTCAGCAGCTGCTGCGTCGTCGCCGCTCTTGAGCCATTGTAGCAGTAGCGCTCTGGACGAAGTACAGGCAGGCCCGAGCTTGAGCTCCAGTCGACTCCGAGACGTGCTGCAGAGCAGCAAACTGACCCGCCGGACGACGGTGGGCGTTATGCAGTGTCGTTCCCCGCCCGACGCCCGAGCGCACTTTCAGTCGGCGGGCGTTGGACGTGTCGCGAGCGAGCGCATCGGCAGTCGTCCACGAGCCGAGACCACGGACACGAACCACATGCGGTCGTCACTGCCGCCGACGCTCTCGAGCGACGTCGTGCTCGACCGCCGGCTGCTGCAGAAGTACGAGCAAGTGAACCACGCGATTGAACGCATTGTGCGCGCGTCGCAGATGGACAGTGAAGTTGTCGCTTCGGACGCATTGAGCGCCCACCAGGTCAAACAAGAGCTGCGGCAGGTGAAAAAGAGTTCAGCGCAGATGATCCATGCACAAAAGGAGCTGCTGGACAAGATGGAGAAGCAGGAACGAGGCGGCTTTCGGCGCGTGTTTACTATGAACAAAGCAGCCAAGATGGCCAAGTTGAAGTCGAAATTGTGTGCCAAGCTGAGCGAGTCCGTGCTCGTGGACGAAGAGCTGCAGCGACTCGAGAGACAGAGCACGGCCATGTCAGCCACGACGCTGGGCACGATCACGCAGACGGGCAAAGCGGTCGTAAACGTGGGCAACTTGCATGGCTCGAGCGGTAGTTTGTTTTCGGCCTCGAGCCACTTTGTCAATACGAACAGCAACTTATCGAGGATGAGCGTCACTGGACCGAGTCTTCTGGATGACATGCGGGATGTCAGTGGCAGCGAGAGTAGTGGCCCTGTGCCGACGCTGTTGTTGAGTTCAGGATGGGAAGATGCACAGGAAGAGCTGCTCATGCTGGAGCGAGAAAAGGAGGATATCCTCAACAATTTGTTCCAGGCCGTGGATATGCCGGCTGTATCAGATTTACATGCGCGCATTGCGAGTTTCTCCAGTGAGATTAAAGCAGTGACAAGTGTCAAGAAACAGGCGGATCGAGTTGAAGCCTTGTACCGCAAAGCGCTACATCTACTGCGTGTCGCGCTAGCTGCAGTTGTGTCCCCGAATTACTCTGGCGGCATCCGTGAGTTTGCCGTCAGTTCGTATCCACTAGCTGTTGAAGCGGGTCATTTGATTGAACAAGCGTGTAATGTGGTGCAGCCAGAAGCGCGTCGCAAGTACGAGTCGTTTGCGTCGGGGCTGACGCATGTGCGACCCCCTAAATTCCCCCAGCCAGTATCTGACTTTGCTCGGCGTACACGGACCCATTACGACCCCCACAGTGCGCTCTCGATCGAAGGGATGCGCAATCTACATGCGGCGGAAAACGTGCTGATTTTGATGCAGCGGCTTGTGATTCAGAAGCTCGAGAGCATTGAAAAGTGGCAGACGAAACTTAATAAGGACAAGGAAGCTGCTGAACGCGCCCACGCGCAGATGGAGTCGAGACTGCAGGAACAAGTGGCGGTCCTCGCGCGTTCCGTTTCGGCATGAGCACATGTGTAGCCATGTTCTGACGCGCCGGTGTGCGTGTACGTGTGTTGTATGGTTTTGGGGATATACGTATCAAAGATTGCGGTGGGTGAGCAGAGATGGAGCGTACGAGATGAGAAGAGAGTGGAAAGAGGAGCTCACCTTTCGATGGGAGAAAGTATGTGGCTCAGACGGAGATTGGCGTCGAAGTCACGAAGCTCGTCTTTGGTTGTTGATGGCGGATGTTGAGAAAGTTGATTGGTCGATCGGTTGGTCGGTCGAGTAGCGGCGCGTCAATATATTTATTCGCCGCTGTTTTCGTCGAGCTTGATGCGATTGCAACGCTGGGAAGTAGTGGGGTGATGACAGTTGCAGCTGATCGTTGGGGTGAGTGGGAGCCGCACCGTCGTCCATTGAAAGTGACTATCCGTTGGATGCCAGGTTTCCAGCTCTTTTGTAAGCTCTGGACATTAGTAATGAGCAAAAATGGGTTCACCAGCTGGATATAGTCAGTCAGTCAATTGTTGCATGTGGCGGCAGCTGCAGCTCTGAAGTAAGCCGTTCGTTCTGTCTGTGTTCCGTAGACAATAATTACTCACCTCTGACTCGAACCACCTGGCACAGTTCTTTTTCACCAATCGTCGTCAAGAGATCTATCTCCACCCTTGGATTGGTCAAAATTGCTGCAACACGCCACTCACGTAACAGACGCGGCCATGGCGTCCAGCGTCCGCGCTTCCATGGACTTTAACGGCCCCTTGAACGCACTGTCCACGTCGCCAAACAACCGCTTGATAGCTGTGGGTGGTCGAGATGGTCCGTCTATGTCCATTGTGGATGTATCTGTCCCGCTGCTGCTATTGCTACTTCGTTGCTGCTGCGTCTCACCAACTGTGCTCTCTGGATACTCTTCTAGTGCTCAAGGTCGTGGCGCTGGAAGCTTCGGGCTTCACAGAGAAGCGCAACCTGCGCGTCGTGGGCAAGCCAAATCTCAACTTTAGTACCAATGACATTCGCTGGCATCCACGTACGTAGACGGGCTATCGTATCTGGATTATTGCTGGAAATGGCGATCGTTTGTGGATACTTTCGAGCCCCCCCCTTTGTTGTACGGACTTTGGATGATGTTCTGTTGGTGTCGCTTGTGTGATCAGATTCGGCCTATTTATTGGCCACGGCAGCGACGAACGGTGCCGTTGGGATCTGGAATTTGGAGCGAGATGGGTACAAGCACGTTCAAGGTGGAGTGACATGTTGGACTAGATTGGGTGGTGGGTGTTATAAGGAGCTGATGGCGGTGTCGGGTTTTGTTTTTTTGTTTAATGGATAGAGCGCGTGTTGAACGGGCATCGTCGTGCAGTGAACCGCATTTGCTGGCACACGACGGACTGGAATGTACTCATCAGTGGCTCGCAGGACGGCACAGTGAAACTCTGGGTGCGAATTGGATGTTGTGTGCTGTAAAGAGCAGTTATGGGGCAGTTATTTTTTGATGTGGTCGATCTTGACCTGCTGTGAACTTGTGTAGGATAAACGAGGAGGCAAAGTTGTATCGACGTACCAGCCAAAGTCCGAAAGCGTTCGGGACGTGCGTGCGAGCCCGTTTCACCCGAACAAGTTTGCTGCTGCTTTTGAAAATGGCATCGTGCAGGTCTGGGATATGCGCAAGAACACACAGCCAGAACTTAAGTTTACGGCTCACAAGGGTTTAGTGCTAACCGTCGACTGGCATCCGACGAATGCTAACGTGCTAGCCTCTGGTGGACGTGATCGTTATGTAAAGATATGGGAGCTCGCGGATGTTCGACAGCCGAAGCAAACGGTCCAGACAATTGCAAGCGTTGGTCGTGTAGCTTGGCGGCCAGCAGGTGTGATGCATATTGCCACTAGCGCTTCACTCATGGACAATAGTATTCATGTGTGGGACACGAAGAGGCCATTCATTCCTGTGGCATCCATGAAAGGGCATTCGGACATTGCATCGGGCATCTCATGGATGGACACACCCGTGTCATCAAACTTTAATCAGCCTGAGATTCCAGGAGACTGGGAAGGCCATTACTATTGGCAGCACATGCTAGCATGTTCTAAAGACGGCACGCTGAAGCTTCATTCTCTCGCAGACTCAGTCAAGCCGCACCAATCGCTGCCAACAACGGCACTAGCCCTCAACTCAAAAGGCCAAGTTGCATTTTCTCATGACTACATCGGTACGTGATAATCGCAGTTGCTACTGTCAATGGTGGGTATCTCCCGAAACTGATCACTTGTTGTGTGTGTGCTGTTCCCTACAGACCGGTCGTGTGCTTCGCTGAAGATCCACCGTCATTTTGGCATTGGCAGCTCACTCTTTACGGTTGAAGGGGTGTCGTCTGCTTCGCCACCTCTTTGCCCTCGTAGCGAGGATCGGAAACCAGGTAATGATCCATTGACAATGTCACTGAGCCCTTTCCATGGCAGTACCATCAGTCCGGAAGATGCTAGCGCAGCTGCGCTACAGGACCAGTCGTCAGGACGCTCGACCGCTCGGTCGTTTGGAGCAGGATCGCACCAACCGCCTTTACCACCCAAAGTGTTGAACCGATCCGGCGGAAGCTGTACGAACCTGGGAGTATTGTCTGCCGGTTCGTTATCTACGGGTAGTGTTAAATGTGCTGGGGGGAGTAGCAGCCTCACTATGGCAAGTGGAGCGGGCTCTGCTGGAATCGCGAGGGGTACAGGCTTTACCGCCAAGTCAAGTATGCTGAATCCACAGGGCAACAACACTGGTGAGATCGGATCAAGCACCCTACCGGAGGGAAATTTTGTATCAGTCTCAAGTGCATCACTTTCGCTGGCATCAGCGTCACCCGTAACTCCTATGATGTCTGGCCCAACTGTTCCTCGAGCTCTCGTCGCTCTTGTGACAATGCAAAACATTAGCAACGCCAGCCAGCTTGAGAAGGTATTTCTTGGCGATGAAAGCGAGTACGTGCAAGCGGGTAAACAAGTGGAAGCTATGCGCGCTCAGTTTGAGCAAGGACAGCACTTGAAAGAGTCATTTGGGTTCGATGAGCACGTATTCCGATTTCTGGCCAAGCACTATGTACTCTTCCCTGAACGAGGTACCGTGAGCAAGGACATCTACAATGGCTCAGATGGAGTTGGTAGTGTCGGTGATCAAGTGACAGTAGCAAAGACTGGTATGAGCTTCGCGGAGATGTGCGCACATAATGCTTTGGCAGCATTTGTCACGGGAAACGCACATTTGTGTCAGATGTGGCGTATTCTCGAGGTTCTTTACACTAACGAGGAAGCCGATGTAAGAAGGAAGGCAAGATGCAGCGGGAAAGCGGGCACCAACAAACCCTATCTTGACGATCTTGGCCTCCGAGATCAAGTTGGCATGTCGATGCTGAACGAAGACAAGCATGACCGGACACCAAGTGACAGTGACGACGATGATCGGATGGATCAGTTCATGCAGCACAAAGGTGAACCAATTGACGAATTCGAAAATGAGGCGCACGCCCACGCAAATTACAATCACAACAACCCCAGCGAGACAGCCATGTTACTTGAACAACTTGACCACGTAAATCCGCAAGCTATGGAAGGATTTGATCCGTATCCGTATGATCTCAGGGGAAGAATCGGTAACGAAAGCGGACGTGAGGGAGTCGATCGTAGCGGTGCATCGGGAATCGCGAATGTGCGCGGCAACTCGTCGGCGATCATGAACGGAAGCGCTGTCATGGGGGATCTTGGTCACCTACGTGACGACGTATTGAAAGAACTGCTCGAGTACTACACGGAGATCGGTGACCTGCAGACATGCGTTGCTGTTATCGTTGTCGCGGGGAAAGTGACAAACGTGGAAAAGGTGATGGGGAAGGCGTGGTTGCAACACGTTTACATGCACTACATCGACCTCTTGCACCAATTGCAGATCTACACAACAGCAAACGAGTTAGTTGCAAATTGCTCGGACCAGTCGATTCGGCAAATGAACATGGTACGTTTTGCTGGTACTTTCGCGTTCAATGTCCCGTGTGTATGTTAACACGACTGTACTTTTGTGTTTGTATACGTAGAAATCCACAAGCGTGTACTTTAATTGCGCCAGATGCTCGAAACCGCTTGAGTCAACCGGTCCAAGTGAACGGGGCATTCCAGCTTCTTTGTGTTCAGGCTGCAGTAATGCTGCTACTTTGTGCTCGATTTGGTACGTCTTGTACCCGATTTTCAGTGTATACATGAAGTTCAGTATCTAACATGCACCTCCTGTGTTTTTCGATAGCCAATTACCCGTCCGTGGTCTCTATGTTTGGTGTCCTGTGTGTGCACATGGTGGTCACTTGACCCATTTGACCGAATGGTTTGCATTCGAGACGGTGTGTCCAACTGGCTGTTCCCATCGCTGTTCATTGAATCTTGTGCAAGCTGGGAAGACGTAAAGCTGGTGAAAACCTTGTTTCGATGGCTGTTGCAAGATACTGCGATAGCAGCTCCTGTTTGAAGCTGAGCTGGTTGTCGTTGTGACGAGAAACGCCCTCGGTATGCGGACAGAGCTCATCGACCATTGTCGCGTGTCCATGGTGGATTGCCTTTGTCTTCGTGGCCGATGGGGCCTAGGAATCAAATGAACGAACTCATGGCTCGGAGCATTTAGCAGCTACTTTCGGATACCGGTCAAGAATGACGAATTGTCCCGCAAGCTTGAACTCTGGCTGTGTCGATTGGAGCTTGAGCGCGTGGTAGTTCCACCATCCCGCTTGCTGAGATTTTGCCATGGCACTCTTCGCACCCGCACACGGCGACAGACGAACACTTGCAGTGATCGGTTATAGCATTGTTGCCGCCGTGTTAGGGCTATCGGCGCTGATGTGGACGCCCACAATGTTTGTCACACATGTTCACGATTGCAAGAAACATCGAGTCAAGCATTACAAGGTGCTCCGTACTCGCGATACTTGGTTGCCTGCAAGAGAGCCACTTGCTGGTCAACAGAGCGAACACAGGTGCTGTCTTAAACAGTCGCGTCGAATACTCGATTTACCACGCCTGGTGCTGCGTTTGTATCGTTGCTCCAGTGTCCTTTTATCATTGCAAGGCTAAGGTCTCATGCGATTCGACCCAAAACTGTTCATATCGATCATCTTTATAGCTATGTCCCATCGTCTCACACCCGACTGACATTTTCTATTGATTCAAGACTATAGCATTAAACACGCTTTTTTCCATTGCATGAATTGCATTGTGGACTGACTACTCGAAACGAAAATGCCCTGCAGAATTAACAATTTGCCTTCTTTTTTCCTTCTTCAAGTTAATTCGTCGAGTCGCACTTTATCTTAGCTGCAGCTTGTGGATTGGATGAAAAGATCACTAATATCGTCCAATGACAATGCAACCAGCACGCATCGCGCACAACCAAAAGCATGACGCTCGTGATGACGGAGATACGACTGCAGAGCCCGGGCGTGCACAAGGTAGGAAGCTCGATAGAGCGCGTGACTTACCTCAACTGCTTCTTTTTATGCACAGGTAACGTTTGAAGTCGTTTTTCCGGTTGTCGTGTGTATTTTGTAGGCTCTACGAGGAAAGAAAAACAGACGTCGAAGTGTGAAACAGGAGAGTGCTCTTTGCACGAGCAAGGAGGCGTCAGATGCATGTGCAGATCTCTATGAAGCTGCACAGGCTCAGCTGGAGCAGGAGATGAAGGAAGCTGGGGTGGAAGGGAGTCTGCCCATGAGTTTTGGCAGTGGATCGAGGGGAGAGACGTCACGAAAGCGCAAGCGATTATTGGACACGAAAGAGACAGAGGACGTGGCCGATATGGGGAGAATTGATGATGAAATGGGAGGTGCAGAGGATGGTGGTGGTAGTGGTGGTGGTGATGAAGAGAATATGGAGGAGAGCAGAGGACAAGTGGTTGCTGGTGTAGCTGCTACTGCCGTTGGTCTTGCGAGTGAAGACGAGGTGGACAGAATTGTCAGCAAGGAGACGTTGGCATCAGAGATGGCATTTGCTGGCGCTGTTTCTGCTACCGCTGCTGCTGGTGCAGGTGAAGATGAGGTAAAAGAACTTGTCAGTGAGGAGTCGTTGACATCGGAGATGGTAGTTGTGAATAAGGTGCGCGTGGTGTTTGATTCGGATGGAGAAGTTTCCGGACGAGTTATTGAGCAGGTTAAAGTGGTTACCGAGGAAAAAGTGAAGCAAGAGCCGAGTGTCTCGGACGTCGCACGGAAGAAGAAACGTGCTGCAAAGAAAAAGAAGAAAAAGCATCCAGGTATGTGTGCGCAGACGAGGACAGATGACGGGTGTGGCTTTGCTAACTTTGTGAGATTTGTCGTGTGTTGTGTGTGCTTCTTTTTGTAGTTGCGAAAGACGTGCTGAAGTTTTATATGCGAAGACACACCCTTTTCGAAAAGTTCGAGAATGGCATTAAACTTGACCACGAAAGCTGGTTTTCGGTACGTATTCGATACGATGACGAGCTGCAGCCTTGGTGATCAGCTGACTTTCCTTGCTGCAGGTCACGCCTCAAGCCATTGCTGAGCATATTGCAATGCGTCTGAGCTGCGACGTAGTGCTTGATCCCTTTGCAGGCTGTGGAGGAAATGTGATTCAGCTAGCAATGACGTGCAAGCAGGTTATTGCGATCGATATCGACCCGGTAAAGATTCGCATGGCAAAGCATAATGCTGCTATCTACGGCGTAGCAGACAAGATCGAGTGGATTGTGGGTAACTCGATCGACCTGTTACCCAGTCTTCAAGCTGACGTCGTCTTTCTGTCTCCTCCTTGGGGTGGCGTGGACTACAACCGGACGTGTTTTAGCTTGGACGACATGCTGGTGAAAGGCGTATCGGGGCTGGACCTCTTTACCAAGGTACGGAAAGTGTCGAAAAATGTTGCATACTATCTGCCAAGGGGTACGCCGACGATGGTCTTGGAGGCGCTGGCGCCCGGTGAGCAAGTTGAGTGTGAAAATGTTTTTTTGGACCAGCACCTTACAGTGGTGACAGCCTACTACGGTGACTTGGCAGCCCGGGAAGTGCCGGAGGTACCAGTTAACGAGGACGTTTTTCCGAATGAGGAGACTGTCGACGCGTAACAAAGTAAGTGGCTCGCACAAAACCACGTTCGTGAGCTTTTACTCACCGCCTGACTACGACCAGTAGTGGTCCACTCAAACGTCGCAGATTACTTGGACATTCTAGTACGGTTCCTTTGGAAGCTCAAGCAAGCCAAACTCCTTCTTGTACATCTCGGCCATAGTGTTGTATGCCAGCATGTCGCCCGCTCGAATCATGTTTCCTGCACAGCCATCACCACACCATCCAAGTCAACTAACATAGTTCACACACAAGTACAACCCATTGTTCATCCTCACCGGCGTCGCAGTTAAGAGGCGAGTCCGCTGCAGGGTCCGACAACAGCGATATCACAGCCAAGCACGCAGCCTGCAAACATTCACCAAGCACCAGTGAAAAACCCTTCACCCACCAACACGGCAAGCACCATCCCGTCATCCTCAAGACAAAGAAGTAGCAGCTCACTCTCAAGGTCCACGCCGGGGACCACTCGCGCTTGAGAATATCCAGGCAGATGCTGCCGTCCTATTCCAATCGATACGGAGCACACAGACCCGTTGGAACAAAAGGACACCCACGACTGACTCACCAATGGACCAAGTACATCAGCAGCAGAGAATCAGCAGGGAAACTCGCTTGCACTCACCTTGAAATGCACGTTGGGGTGAAAGATCTTCGTCATGAACTTCATCTTGGGCGGCTCCATGGGGTACAGAGACGTGGTTTGAATCGCCAACTCGAAGCAACGGTCTTCAAACGGCGTGTCCGTGGGACCACGGATAAAAGCTTTCCATCGCATGATCGTGTCTTCTTCCGGGTACAGCACCATGTCCTCCTCCGGGTTCTTCTTGAGCTCCTGGAGCTCTTTGCGGAGCCGCTTGACGTTCGTGTTCATTTTTGTGACTGAATAGATGACTTTTGGCGGTGGTGTCGATCCCCTCGCATTTGTGACGTCTGGTGCCTTGTTTTTTCAAGACCAGGTGGCTTGAATCAACGTTTTTCAAAAAGCCGGTGCGGTATGATGTAGCCATCTCGAATAGAGATAGAGTGATCATCGATCGATAGAGTGATCATCGATCGATAGAGTGGACGAGCAGCACCTAGCTAACTGACTGCTGCAGCGACGACGACGTTAAGTCTGTCTACTCCTCAAAATTACGGTTGTCATTTGCCACGAGAAGCTCACACATAGGCGTGAAGTGCATTCTTTGCAGCTGGCTGAAAAGTGGGATTTGCAGCGGGTTCTAGACAAGTGACTCGTGCCGTTATTACGACGCGGTTGGGGCCACGGGTGAAGCAGAGACTCGAGTTGCTGCTATCCATGAGAGAACAGAACGACCGCGGCGGAACAACGTTGTCGTGTACAATAACCGTCGAGCCATTACAGCGTCTGGATTCAGTCTGCACTCACTCTACCTCTCATAAAAGTAGAATCAACGACAACAAGGAGCAACGACTCAATCAAGAAGCTTCGCAACAGCAACAACGAAGCGTAACATGCCATTGTGGCTCGAGCCAGCATCAGAAAAGCGTTTGCGACGACGTAGCCAGGCCAACCATCAACAAGACAGAACGAAAGTCCTCATTGTCCTTCACTCGGTTACCGGTATATTTCTTGCTGCAACTTACAGGCTAAATTACTGAACTACTGCGTCGCCCCTCCATCGTCACCACCTCCTCCTCCTCCACTCAGTAGAACGCTACAAAAAAGCCAAACGGGCGATAAAAAGTAGAAAGAAAATGGACTAAGAGAGAAAGTGTACTAGGGCACAGACGAGACAGCCGCGACTGTTCGCGGAATTACGTGCGCTCGCCGCGAATGCGCCGCGCCAATTGAATGTCCTTGGGCATGATCGTGACGCGTTTCGCGTGAATCGCGCACAAATTCGTGTCCTCAAAGAGGCCCACCAGGTAGGCTTCCGACGCCTCTTGCAAGGCCAGAATGGCCGTGCTTTGGAAGCGCAAGTCCGTCTTGTAGTCCTGCGCAATCTCCCGCACGAGGCGCTGGAAGGGCAATTTGCGGATCAACAGGTCCGTCGACTTTTGGTACTTGCGGATCTCCCGCAGAGCGACCGTGCCCGGACGGTAGCGGTGCGGCTTCTTGACGCCACCAGCTGTCGGGGCGGACTTGCGCGCAGCTTTGGTTGCAAGTTGCTTGCGGGGGGCTTTGCCACCGGTGGACTTGCGGGCGGTCTGCTTGGTACGTGCCATGGTGGTTGGTCTGGCTGGCTGTTTGACGGGGTGGAAGCTGGAGAAGTCGGGCTGCTGCTCTTGTTGTTGTTCGGTCGGAGCTTGGAAAAGTCGAAATGAACGGTGAGAGGCGGTGAGGAGAATGAATGAATGAACGATGAACGAACGGGCTCGCGCGTGCCGGCTTGGGCAGGCGTGCAGTATACGAAAAGCTAGTTGAAAAGATCACCTGTATGCAACCAGGAGAGATGACGTTTATCCCGTGTAACTACAGCTCTGCCGACGCACTTGACTTTTGTATCACAACGTCTTGGGGAGAAGTTTGGGACGGCAGGGCGACGTCGCTCGTGACCATATCAAACTCAAGTTTTTTTGTCTCCCCCCCGTCGCGCTTTTCCCCACCTCTCGACCACTCGCTGGCTGCGCTGGCTCCTATTCGATCAAGAAGGTCTGATTGGAAAACATCTAGGATTTTGTATGGACCAACCGGCTGCCACGAGTGGCCGTATCAAGGTCGCCTGAAAGTCGACGAAGGAGGCTTCGTGTTTGACTTGGTTAAACTATGCATCGCCCATGGCGTCGTTACAAGCCGTCACTGCCGATCCACCAATCACAGCACAGCCCTACCCCTGAAAGAAGTAGGATAGGAAAAGACAACGCACCTGCTCGAATTAGGCTCGTCGTGGCTAGGAAAAAACCGGTAAACGCTTTAGAAATCCGCGGTGACGTTTCTATCTATCAAGAGAAAGAAAGCGACGTGTAGTTTGCCACGTGCGACCATCATTCCACACCAAGCGCGTCACGCCCTTTCTTGTGTACACCACACACATTTAGTCGCTTGACACGCAAAATGGACTTTCAAGCACTGGCCGCCGCTTGCCACCACGACGCCATTTACCGGTACGCAGCTACAATCAATACATTACACTGTACGTTACAAGCGCGTTGTCAGCACTTGACAATTGAAACGCCAATCGAGCACGTGCTGTCCTTTGTAATGCAAACAAGATTGATACTATCTTGACAATTGTATCGGCGGTTTTTTTCTTTCTTTCTTGTCTCTGTCTAGCCAGTCAATCGCGACTTCAAGCTTATGGGTACAATCTGCTGCGACCATCAATGTGTACATGAAGCAGCTACAGACTGAACTTCAAACGACTGGACGGGACCAAGGCACTGACCTGGACCGACACGATGTGGCCATTACTGAAGACGAGGATGATGGTGATGGTGATGATGATGATGATGATGGACTCGGGTATACGTTCCACGTCCAGGTCAACGATCCAACAGCAGCAACAACAGATTTGCTACTGGAAAAGTCTATCAAGCCAATGAAGATCGAAGTGCTTGATGTGGACCGCGTCGCGGATCAACTTGACTCAATGACGGCTGTTTTCCGCTTCTTGCGGAATGCTTGTGCAGCTTGTGTGGATAATCAAAGTGCTTGTCAAGCTGCAGGGTTGATGCCATTGGTACGATAGGAGAGATCTATGATTGATTGGCATGCGGATGTGTATGTGTCGTTAACGTTGTGCTTTTTTACGCTGTGAGGTAGACGCGGGATGTTGTGCTGCAGTGCTGTTGCTGGGTGGATGTAGAAGACGAGAAGCTCAAGGAGTAAGGCTGCACTGGCGTAGACTTGTGACTTGAGTGAATGTGCTGACATTTATTGTATGTGCTTTCGACGTAGTCGCGTTGTCCTTCTTTTGCAACTTGCGCTTCAGTTTTGCGTCAATAGCGTCACTGGTAACGTGAAGAACCAGGTGGAAGCATGGAAGTTGTTCTTTCCCTATGTTTTCCAGGTGAGCCGGTGCCGACGAGAACAAGCGTGTGGCCTTGTGTCGTACTTAAGTTTGTGCTGACATTACCACAGAAACTGCTCGTGGAATGTCATCAGCATCGCAAAGTTGTTGCGTTTGCCGTAGCGCTGATCTTGAATTGTGTCAACTCTGACTACATCATTGCACCCGAAGCCGAGAAAGTTGCTGCCCGCCGTATCGATCTGGTAGGTACAGGTGCAATTGGATGCTAGATTTTGCTGAAAGAAATAGTGTCTAACTCGGTGCCTCCATTTGCGCAGGTGTGCGCTCGGGACGTGGTGATCACGATTCTACATCGCTGTATAGCCAAGTTTGCAGAGTCGGATACGCCACTGCCCAGTGGCAGACCTCGTATCGATGACCAGGATCCAGCTTTCGAGTGGATCTGTATGCTGTTTGGCGTGCTTTTTCGCGACGGACGTGCTAAGGACTTGTATAACGCCGTGGGAGCGCACATGCTAAGCACACTTTGGTCTCGTGTGACTCCGGAACAGTTGATTTTGCTGCAAATGTTCACAATGTGGGCCCTTCAGAAGTCCAAGCCAATTTCTGCTGAAACGACGCAAGAGGAGCGTACCGTATCGCATGTGCACGGACTTTTTGCAGATACGTTCGAGTTCGTCACAAGCACGTGGGTGCATATAGTCAATGATGAAAATGACGACCGGCCGGCTGAAGCTGACGAGACAAGAAAGAAAGTGTGGATTGAGCTTGAAAACCAAGCAAAGTTGCTGCTGCTTGACGTGCTTGGGGAGTTGACAATTGACCAGACGACGCTGAAGACTGAAAGCTCTCGGAAACTTTTGATATCTCTACTGCAAGAGTTACAGCGTGTCTGGGAACTCGGGCGGCAAAATCCAACAACGAAGAGTTACCAGGCTGCTGGATCCACGCCGCAAGCACGAACAAAGGGAGAGCCGCTTGGGTACAGGTCCAGCTTGATCCGACTCATTGGTAACCTCTGCTTTCGTCACACAGAGCACCAAGATCTCGTGCGCGAGAACGGCAACTTGCCCCTTTTTCTCAGCCATTGCAACATTGACGAAGCGAACCCGATGATCCGGGAGTGGTCTTTGGTAGCTTTGCGCAACCTGTGTGAGGGAAATGAGGCCAATCAAGCGTACATCAATGCACTACGCCCGCAACAAATGCATCCGAAGTAAGACTGAGACAACAGAGTTATCGGGAAAGAGATGGGAAGTGGGAAGACAGACTACTCAGGTTAGAGGACGATGTCTATTCGGGAAAACGATATCGATGATAGAGAAGCACTTCGTACTATGCGACCATTTGTACGGTGTGATGTTGCGGTCGAAGATGACACCTCAATGCATGTGTTTAATGAGCCCGATCCATGGTCGATTGGGCACGCAAAAAGGTGAGTTAAAGGAAAATCTCGACGAGGAGAGGCACTGTTACGTGAAGGAGGATTCTAGAGCATATCGTTGACGGAACCGTGTAATAGATCCACCTATTGAAGTGCCAACGTTCTGATTTGAAAGCTTGAGCATAGTGCACGTTATTTCTCGAACGGGCAGCACGTTATCAGAGCTCGCGATGTTGCTTACAGCATCCCGATCAGAACCTCAGATAATGAGAAACAGTTCACGAAAAAAGGAGATGAATCGGTAGGTTTCCATTGTGCTGGACTCCTCTATTATCTCTAGAATACCGGGCTAAGCACAAGAAAGTTGTGAGTAAGTTAGTCCACCGATGCGCCAGCAGTGTATTCAGACACAGCTATGGGGCTATTCCAACTCTTGATGCCGATCAGGTGTGCAGGAACGTGCTAAACGAAAAGATTATACATCGATGTCGAGACTCGGACCTTTCGATGCAAGTTGTCGATACATCTAGTACCAATGTTTAGTACTCATTGAGCCATTCCTTATCAGCATCATTGATTGATAACTAGAGGCATCTTTACCGCCCAAGAAATACACTATCGGCCACTTGTGACGACATTTGTTCAACCGGCGGCAGGACTGAAGATTGCCTCATACGAAATAAGCACTGTCGTCCTCAAGCAAAGCTTACAGCGAAGGACTCCTCACATCTTATCATACTCGTCGTCTCGGATCTCAACTCGAGAGCTGCCGTCAAATCCACCAGCTGCGTGGACTATTTCCATAGGGTCATAGTTGCCAGACCTGCCACTTCCATCAGCCCTGTCGTAAAGAGCGAGTGGCACGTGGCGGCACTATAGTTCCGTAATGCAGACAGTGATAATCCCTGGCTTCAGAAATTGCTGACCGAACGTCTGACTTTCATTCCGCGCCTCATCCCTGCTACACCACATAATATGCCCTAAAGGACGAACAAGTTTACTACACAGGCGGAGAACATGATGATCGAAGGACTCTGAAATAAACGAGGTGGTCGATAGCTGACAGGCACGACTAAAGGTTCGCGATGGCCAAATGGCTCGCGTGTATCACCGATGTTTCTATACGTCGTCGTATGCACCATTGAAGTCGAAAGCGAATCTTTGGACACGCTGTCACAGCTGTACAATACGGTCTTCTAGGAATAGAGGATGCCTTCAATAGCCACATGGACTTCGTTCGTCACTACAAAGGCGCGGTGACCCTACATTCTGACTTTCGGCAATACTACGATCCTGCAGTCGCCACTTCAATCGCATCCCTTCGTCAAACCGTCGACGGTACGATCCGAGAGTATCTCAAGCAAGAGCGCCACGACTTTATCTTCTTTTGTGTGGCTACCACTGCCGGTAGTGTTGTAAGCTTCTACATCTGAAATATTGAGACTGGAACGAAGAGGCTGCGATCGTCGGGAGGACGTGCACTACACATCTCGTTTCCGACCATCTAAGAAAGATGTTGTCAAATTGAGAGAGACTATCGACAGATGTCTGGCTCAGCAGTTGCTTGCACTGTTCAGACCTGGCTGAGGCACATCCGACAACGTCCATACAGACAACACAGCGAGCGCAAAAGAACTTGGTTGAACAATCCAGACGAGGTTGTCACAAAGTTATAGGTATTGCAGTGACTGTAATCCGTTCCGGGTTCTGTCGACACGACCCTAGAAATCGTCCTGTTCAGGATCATCGAACAGCCACCTCTTCTCGCGGGAGCACAAACAAATCGATACAAACTTGACGAGCCACACGAATCTGTGTGGATGGCAGGTAGCGAACACACAAAAAACGAGCTCGTTCGTCGAGCAAAGCTTCAACCGGCATCTTTCAGCGGATAGGCGGCGTATCCTCACGAACGTGAATATTCTGTGGAAAGACCTGCCGCCAATTGACGAGCAGCGAAACCCACGAGCGTCAAGTCGCCCCCTTCATCCAACATTGTACACAGCATCGATGTAAGACACAACAGAGCGCTGTGGAGACCTAACATGTTCAAATACTTGTATGTCGTACATCGATGCCTGGGATACACAAGTAATTGCATCCTCGTCGGCAATACAGAGTTGGTACTCCTCATGTCGAATAGCCATAAACACGATATCCCACAAAGTAGCTCTTGATTTAGTTGCTACATCGTCTCCGATATGTGGTACCGAACACACGGTTGTAATTGCTTTGCCAGCTGTTGATGAGGAATGACGACTCAAAAATCTCTGCAAAAATGGAGAGTCCAGAGCTACCTACTGCAATTGTACGCGCCTTTGATGTAGCACGCGACCCTAGACGTGCCTTGTCATTTTACATTTTGCCTTCAAGTACACACCCGACTTCCAAGTTATTACTCCACCATGAAAGTTTTTCTAGCTGCTGCTCTAATTGCTGCCGTTGCGGCTACGGCTTCTGCTGACTCGATGGGCAACCCCGATAGCCTGCTCGGCCCGCCGAAGAATCCGGTTGAAGAGTTGTTTGATTCGGGTGGCAGCAGCTCGACGGTATCGCTGGGTGCCCTCACTGGATCATCCGGGAGCGGTAAGAGCAAGTCCAAGAGTGGATCTAAAGACGACGAGTCGAAAGAAGAAGAGTCTGAAGACGAAGCTGGTGGCGCGAGCGAGAAGACCGAGAGTGGATCAAAAGAAGAAGAGTCTGAATACGAAGCTGGTGGTGCGAGCGAGAAGACCGAGACTGGGACCGAGTCGGGGAAGCTGGATGAGGTTGGCAAGAGCGGAATAAGTGAGACCGAGACGGGTGGACCAAGTGAGACCAAGACGGGTGGACCAAGTGAGACCGAGACGGGTGGACCAAGTGAGACCGAGACGGGTGGACCAAGTGAGACCGAGACGGGTAAACCAAGTGAGACCGAGACGGGTGGACCAAGTGAGACCGAGACGGGTGGACCAAGTGAGACCGAGACGGGTAAACCAAGTGAGACCGAGACGGGTGGACCAAGTGAGACCGAGACGGGTAAACCAAGTGAGACCGAGACGGGTAAACCAAGTGAGACCGAGACGGGTGGACCAAGTGAGACCGAGACGGGTGGACCAAGTGAGACCGAGACGGGTGGACCAAGTGGTAGCATAACCGGCGAACCAAGTGAGGCTGATGCTGGTGGACTAAAAGACGCGCTTGGTCTTGACGTTAGCGAAACGTCGTCGAGCGAAGGCGCCCCGATTGGCGGCTTGGGTGACTTAGGCGGCTTGGGCGGCTTGGGCGAGTTGACTCCTTACGACGGAGGCAAGCCGACTGATGGTCTCGGCTCGGACAAACGTGCTTCGTCTCATACGGCATGCCGCCGTCGCCTCCGTGCTTAAAAAGCGCGAACATGCTGTAGTTTCGGTGAAAAACCGGTCGAGCTATCATTACTGTTAGCTACGATGTGTTCACAAGTGAAGCTCAGCAACAGCGTGAATACGCGATGAGTATTTGTATATGTCCAAGCTTTATGGTACCTCTGAAGCAACCGCTTCTGCTGTTTAATAAAGTTGCGTATGTCATCGTCATGAGTAGTTTTTCCATCCGATAATGGTCTTGACATCGCTTTGGGTTTCCATCATACTCGACAGCTGACGTGAATCGCTGAGAAACGGGTCGCTGCTATCACTGCGTTGAATACAGTCGGAGCTTACGAAAAAATGCATACTATCAAGTCGATGGAAGCCAGAAATCGGTGTTCTGAGGTAGAGCTATCTACCGCCTTGACTCTCACGTATAGCTTCAGGCAACGACGCACGCTACGGAATTCTAGCATGACCAACCTCATGAGAAGTACTAAAGATAAAAGGTGGTAGACGGAATCATGTAGAAACATGTAGTCAGCATTACGCTCATTACAAAATCCCGTATCAAGCTACCACCTAAAAGACTCAGAGAGTGCTTCGAACTCTTGTAATCAATGTCGTTGGGAAGGGCTGAATTTATATACACTAAACCATATCGTGAGTGGGCAATTGACTGTGCGTCGTACTTTTCCCCGTTTTAGTTAACGTGTCCGCCGTATTCACTTTGGTAATGTTACAAGGCCTTGAGCAGTGATACCATAATTGTAACGGGGCACCCTGAAGCTTGTACTGGTGACAGTACAAGCTACTTATTCTGATAACAGAATAAGGCGGTGCCTCGTAACTTCACGTACACTCGTACGTGCAGAGGAAGACGGTAAGAAGAAGCGAGTACTCGGTTAGAGTAAAAAGTAGAACTGTATTTATAATAGTTAATGTCTGCAATAAATCACTATTTATCTTCATCTAACTATGTCTAAATACAAATGTGTAAATCAGTTATCTGCTCACCACTCATTGCGTGCGTCTGTCGTGGCGCGTCTTCGTTGGTTGATATAATGGCCTATATCAACCAATTAGGGACTACTTGGAAGTGCTACAGAATATTGTCCTTATGACAATATTCTGAGAATATAACTCTTATAGTTATATTCTATTAACAATTTCTTATAAATTGTTATGTAACGATTCACCCCGTTACATCACCCCCCTAACCATCAGTCACTTTAGTGACTGATTGACTAAATGGATACTCGTCCCAAATCATTTGGGACGGGGTTTGCACTTGTTGGTCCGCGTCCACTTTCCAACATCTCATCGCATGGTAAACAAGCCCATGCGATGCGCGAGCAAGGCCGCCGAGAGCGCGTCTGCACGTATCTGTGCGGACGCCGAAGCAGAAACTACAGCAACTGATATCCCATCGGTTGCTGAATCGACTCAGCCTGTATCACCTGGTGATGCAGGCGCTGGTCATGAAGACACTCGTGTCTTCACAGAGTACGAGCTCGGTGTCTCGTACTCTCCTGATACGGATGACGGATCCGTATCGACGGCAATTGAATCCAAGCCGCCTGCCAAGCGTGGCATGGACGATGCTTTGCGTCGTAGCATCTTTGGTTCATCTGATGAGTCAGATGAACCATCGCCGAAGCGAAGGCGCTCGAGGTCGCGAGACTCGGGCGCTAATAGTGGTGTCGTTTCTCCAATGGACACCACTTCACAGCGAGGTGCCAGTACTTCTGTCGGCACGTCGCAGGAAGAGCGGGACCGCAATGTGTTGCGTCTCGCTCCAGAAAAGAAGGCATGGATGCCTCCTAAATCTGTCATGGATCACTTGTCGGCGACGACGAGTGATCGTTATCGAACACGATTGTTCGATTCGTCAAGGATTCATCACCTTGACCCCAGCGCGAAAGACTATCGCGCTGAACATGAGTTCTTCATCGATGCTTTCTTCAGACATCGATGGTACAGTGGGAATCACAAACGTGATGGTCCCTCACTACTTCAGGCGTGGAACGCCTACATCCATAATCTCGAGGATGTAGGTCGTGACGCTTGGAACGACAAACTTATCAAAGCTCGTGATAAGTTTGAAAAGCGAACCCCGACAGGTGCACGCTACAAGCTGCATCGTCTGTCAAGGGAGAAAGGATTACCCTGCCTCTCTTGGGGAGACTCGTGCCCATGTTGTGTGAACAACTCTGCACGAGCACCTAAGGAGGCTTACCTCCTTACCAGCCCGTGGTGGCGCGTACGTGTCTCTACTGAGATGTACGAAGGGATTGACAACCTGAAATCCCTTTACGACCGTGCCGGGAAGACTTTCTCCGGCGGTCCTTCTGCGGCACAGGATGTGTCGCGTCGTACTGCTCGACCAGACCCAGTACGTCAACCATCAATTGGGAGCGGGGCTCCCAAGAATCCCAGGACGGGGGATAGCCGCGCCACCGGACGAGGTAACTCGTCCGACGTCCGTTCACGTCGCGGTGGTTCAACAGCTGCTCTACTAGATAGCGCTGGCCACCGCGAGAGTCCTCTAATGGAGGTGGAGGAGGAGGAAAGACGCTCTCCACACGATCATGTGGATCGGTGTGTTCCCGAGAGCTTCTTTGATCGCGTAACGCAAGGGTTACGCGACGATCTCGAGCATGAGCGGAATAGGCGTCTCCAGATGGTGGACACTGCCTCGAAGCATCGAGCTGAGTTTGCCTTTGCTCAGCTTGAGAACGAGAGATCTCTGACATCTCTTCGTGACGAGCTAAGGGTAGCTCGTGGGATTGTTGATCGGTCTCGGGCTGAGATAACTGCTCTTCAGACCCTTGTTGATGCCCACCATCGGGAGCACAAGGCTCTCTGCGAGATGCTTGAGCGCAAGGGCGTTCTTCATCGGAAGAAGCAGCGTACTGATGGTACGGCTTAAGCCGACCAACGTAAAACGTGGGATGCGTTCGCATCTTACGTGGTAACTCGATCGTGTATGCATTGCCTAGGCGGTGCAATACACGAAATGGGCCAATGTACTTGGGTAGTAGTTTACTGCTACCCAAGTTAGTCACTACATGTTTTGGTAGATTAACCGTAGACAGTAGGACTAAGTCACCTTTATTAAATAAAAGAGTGTTTGCCCTTCCATTCTTGTCAGCGTTTTGCTTTTGCTTATCCACCGCTTCGGCGATGGAGTCTTGCACAAAACGGACTACCGTTTCACGAGCCAGTATGAACTCATCTGATGACTCGTTAGCTTTAGTGTGCTGTGAGCGCACTGCAGCGACAACAACCTTTTCTTCAGTGAGGGCTTCCGCACTCTCACTGGGATCATTGTCTTCAGTGAGGGCTTCCGCACTCTCACTGGCATCATCTTCTTCGATATCGATGTTATCGATATCGGCATCAAACGCAATGACTTCCTCGTCAGAGCGTGATGAGCGTGAACCAAATCGGTTTTTGCTCGCGCGAGTCCCTCCCCCCCTTAAACCAGAGTTACACTCTAGTAAGGTGGGTACACGCGGATGGCGCAAGCCATTCACGTAAAACGGTGTATGTCTCGTGGACGCATGCACCGAGTTGTTGATGGCAAACTCTACCATCGGCAAAAACTCACTCCAACTCTTAAAGGAGTGTACGTATCCTCGAAGTATCTCTTCAAGGACACGATTGGCACGTTCCGTCTGACCATCTGACTCTGGATGATCAGATGTTGACATCTTCAAGCGCGTTCCGAGTGATTTGAACACGGAACGCCAGAAATCAGCAGTGAATCGTGGATCTCTGTCTGATACGAGTTCACGGGGCAACCCATGAAGTCGGAAGATGGTGTCAATAAAGACACAAGCACAGCCACTTGCCGTGATTGTCTCTGGTACAGCCACAAGGTGTACCATTTTGCTGAATCTGTCAACAAATACGAGAATACCCGTATTCCCGCGTGCGTCTTTGGGTAACCCGAAGACGAAATCCATTGAGATGGATTCCCAGCACTCAGCCGGAACCGGTAGAGGCTGTAAAGGTGCACGCAGTGAAGGAATTGACTTCACTCGTTGGCAGACTTCGCATGCGCGAACATACTTTCGCACAAACTGATACTGGCGGGGCCAGTAAAAGTCTCGACTTACCGTGAGATATGTTTTCTCTCGGCCACGATGTCCTCCTATAGGAGCATCGTGATACTCGAACATGATCCGCAAACGCAGATCAGTATCATCTGGAATGACAACACGTGGTGTGTCACCAGAAACGGCTGTATAATACAGTAAACCGTTACGAGTAGTGTATCGATCTGATGCAGATCGATACGCAGGCGACAATCGTTTCAACGATTCTCGGGATGGTTGGGAGAGATGTGTCAACAACTTCACTATCTCACCATCTTGGGCGTATGCCCGCCTCACATCATCATACAACGTTGTAGATGGAACTGAGGACGTCATAACCGCAACAGTGACTGTCTCACTGTTGGGTTTCGCGACTGTTTCAAAGTCGGGACGACGTGAGAGTGCATCAGCGACGACATTAAGTCGTCCTGGTTTGTACTCGACCGTAAAGTTGTATTCTGCAAAGAATGACAACCACCGCGCCATTCGTTGTGAAAGGTGCGGGCTGTTCACTGCCGTGCGTAAGGACGCATGGTCAGTGTAAACAACGAAGGGTCTATCTCCTAATAGATAGACTCTGAACTTCGCGAGTGCATACTTCATGGCAAGGAGTTCCTTGTCATGCACTGGATAGTTCCGCTCAGCTGGTTGCAGCTGACGCGACTGATAGCAGACGACGCGTTCAACGCCTTCAAGGTCGTACTGCATTAATGCACAGCCGATTGCGAAATCGCTGGCATCACAGACCACATGAAATGGCCTGTCCTGATCGGCTATTGCTAGGACTGGGGATTGTATCAAGCTCTGCTTGATACCCTCAAAGGAGCGTTGACATTCAGCGTTCCATAACCACCTCTCGTTCTTTTTCAACAAACGAGAGAGGTGTACAGTCATCTCGGCGTAATTGCGTGAATACTTATGCAAATACGCCGCTAGCCCAAGGAATTTTCGAAGACCTTTGACATCGACCGGCACGGGCCAGTCGGCGATCGCCTTGATCTTTTCGGGATCAGGACGTACACCGTTCTTACCAACGATGCACCCAAGAAGTGGTATTTCGCTTGCTGCAAATATACACTTCTTGAGGTTTGCATACAATTGATGCTTTCGCATGATTGTAAGAACTTGTCGGACGTGGTACTTGTGAACCTCAACGTCCGACTTTCCATCCATAGCTCGACTATGGATGAATACGTCATCGAAATAACTCGGCGCGAATTCTCGTACTGGCCTCAACAGATGTGATACACACCTGTTGAACGTGGCAGGGGCATTACTGAGCCCTTGTGGCATTACTAGCCATTCCCAGAGCATGCCGCTAGGCGTGCTAACTGCGGTATAGGGTATATCCCGTTCCCGCATTAGGATTTGATAGAAGCCATCCATCAAATCCATGGACGAAAAGATGGTACTCTTTGACATACCATCAATGATTACGTCCTTCCTCGGTATCGGCGTCTGAGCCGGTACCGTTGCAGCGTTCAATTTGTTAAACGCGTGCACTATCCGCCACCCTCCTGTTGCTTTTCGCACACAGAAGGTCGGAGAGCTATGTGGGGAAGTTGATTCCCTCACATGGCCCGCTGCTAAACGATCGGCAAAGAACTTGTCGATCGCAAGTACTTGTTCACGAGGCAGTGGCCACTGCTTCATGACACAGTACTTCGAGCCTGGTTTAAGATCGACTTCGTGTCGAATACCTTTATCCTTCGGTAATTCGCACGGAACAGTTTCAGGGAATACATCCTTGAATTCAACCAAATCCTCATAGAGAGGGTTTTCCTTGAGCGATTCCCATGATTGGGACTCATATCGCTCAATTCGTGTCTTTTCATCTAGGACACTCTCGTCCATAGATGAACTACTGAGAACTCTCTCGTTCTCAGTAAACACTGTTGCTGACCTTATGTCGGTTACACACTCGTCGTCAGCGACGAGTATGCAGATCTGCTTGACTTTGCCACTACGCAGATCACGCAAGAACCTTTTATGTTCGAGCGTTGGCAACTGAGTGATCTCCGAAGTTAACTTCGGAGGCGCAATCAGATCAAGTGTATAAGCGCCTACACATGATCCGTTATTGACTATGACATTCAATGTCTCTGTCATTTCCTGGGGACTTATTCCCTCAGGCTTCGAAGGACTTATTCCTTCGTCTTCCCGGGGACTTATTCCCGCGGGTTTCGGGGAACTTATTTCCGCCGTATTTGTAATCTTGGGACTTATTCCCTTTATTTCCTCTAGCTGGGGTTGCGCAACCACAGCGAGATCCTCTACGAAAGACTCTCCAGTCGATCTAGGATTATCGTTTCGCTTAACCTGAGCGATCGATTGTTTCTCTTCTAGATGTTCCCCTCTAGGGATACATCTTTGTCCCAGTCCACCCGACTTATTCGAGTGGTGGACCTTCGGCGCAGCCTGTGTTTCCTCACAGCCGCCGGAACTTTGCTCCGAAGTGTAACCGTTTGGTACACTAAGGTTTTGTGCAGTCGTACTAACGACCGTACCACAAGTGAGGCCATCGCACTCACTCGTAGTACATCCACACGCTTGTGGACGCTCCAAAACGTTCATCAGATGGCCATCTGATGAACAAGCGGCAGGCATCGTTACTGTCCGATGTTGCCAGTTTACCCGTGGTTCGTACCTTCTGAGCCACGGTAATCCAAGGATGACATCAAATTTGTCATCCAAATCCAATACGATAAAGTCATCGTCGTATTGGGTATCTTCTAGCGTATAGTGAATCTTCACTATGCGCTTCATGACGGTTACGGATGCGCCTGTCGCAAGACGTACCGTCATCCTCGTAGGAGGTGTGTCACATTCACTGAATTTAAAGTGACCATCTTCTAGCGATTGGCGTCGCACAAAATTGTTGGACGCCCCACAATCGACTAGAGCTCGAAGGGACAACTTATTCGTCACTTCGAGTTTCAAGGTAATGAGTGAGATCTCATTACCTAGAGCAGCAACGCACAATGTCTGTGTGTTGGGAGCAACCTTCATCAAGAGGCCTACAAATTCTCTTGACGTTGCTGGATCAGTAGGGTGCTCCGCACCTACTGATCCTGTCCGTTTTTTGACGGTCCATCCCGTTGTTGCGTCTTTGCACCAACTGCGGACCCTCGTCCCTGCCCCTTTCTCATGGGTGGACGGTCACTACGCCCAGTGTCGCGAGACACTGGACGAGGGGCACTACACTCGTAAGCGTAGTGTCCTGTCTTCTGACATCTGTTGCATCTCTGCAACTTCTTGTAGCCTGTAGAGCGAACCTTCTCGCTCTCTACATAACAGAGTTCCATCGGCTCTGGACCTCCGTTGTCATATCGTCTCGGTTGACGATATGATGTCGAGCTGGCGCGAGCCTGTCTCAGACTGAAGTCTTCCTGCTCCGCAATGGAAATGGCTTGTTCTAGTGAATCTAGTTCAAGCCGGAACAGGTGAGTCTTGACGGGACCATCCGCAAGACCCTGCATGAACACCGAAACCAACGTGTGTTCATCCACCGGATTGGAACTTATACAACTCGTGAGATGTCGTATATGTTGAGCGTAAGCGTGCACATCACGCTTACCCTGCTTGAGCTTCAAGAGTTCGGTTCGAGCCCTGAACTCAGCTCTAGGCGGTTCAAACGTTTGTCTGAGCCGCGACTTGAAGACTTCCAACGACCCAAACGCATATGGGTCGTGCAGCTTGAGCCCCAGTGCCCAAGTCTTGGCACGTCCTGCCAGATTTGATTGGGCAAATGCAACTTGCATATCCCCGTCGTCGATGCGACGCGCCCTTATGGCGTCATCCAATTCGACGAACCATCTCAAGAGGGAGTCTTCTTCGACCCCCCTATACTTTGAGATGTCAATCTTCAAAGTCTCGGGCCGACGCGAGTGCATCGACCCGCCAGCAGCAGCTTGCTGCTGTCTCAACAGTTCAAACTGTTGAGCACCCTGTTCTCTCAACAACTCTGCTTGTTGAGAACCTTGTTGGTGAAGCAAGGCTACTTTCTCGCGTTCTGCGTCAAGTTCATTTTGAATGAACTTGGCGATAGTAGCATGTTGGGCATCTCTATTGAGAGCCTCTAGCATGACGCTAACAGCATGGATGCCCATGGTCGAACCCATTCGTTCAACCGCATCCCATTCGACATCGCTCAAATGGGAGTAGCCGTCACGCGTAGCGTGAAAGCTTTGGTCATCTTCATCATCCAACATATTCATGTTGGATGTGAACGCGGTCCTTGGACGGACTACAAAGTGCTACCAGGTGTAACGGGGCACCCTGAAGCTTGTACTGGTGACAGTACAAGCTACTTATTCTGATAACAGAATAAGGCGGTGCCTCGTAACTTCACGTACACTCGTACGTGCAGAGGAAGACGGTAAGAAGAAGCGAGTACTCGGTTAGAGTAAAAGTAGAACTGTATTTATAATAGTTAATGTCTGCAATAAATCACTATTTATCTTCATCTAACTATGTCTAAATACAAATGTGTAAATCAGTTATCTGCTCACCACTCATTGCGTGCGTCTGTCGTGGCGCGTCTTCGTTGGTTGATATAATGGCCTATATCAACCAATTAGGGACTACTTGGAAGTGCTACAGAATATTGTCCTTATGACAATATTCTGAGAATATAACTCTTATAGTTATATTCTATTAACAATTTCTTATAAATTGTTATGTAACGATTCACCCCGTTACAATAATCCAGTCAGACGAAAGATGTCATATATCGTGACGAAGTGTCTCGAACAGGTATCGTGTGCGTTACATAACAAGCTTACAACTTGCAAAGGACGATACAGACGACGAGCAATACTGGTCTATGTACTGTCGATAACATTGGTAGATAAAACGGTCTTGTCTTCCGTGGTAATGCGTTATAGTCGGCGATGATCCGAGAATTACGAGTGTGTGCACCAAAGTTACGCATTCCTCTTCTAGTCCTTTCGCAAGCGGTTTGCAAATGAGCTAGACTTGTTCTCAGTGAGGCGTAAGATCGATGTTAGTGTCTGACAGCAAATCGACTGTAGCAAGGAGAGAGCCGAACAAAATTAGTATTGTAGAACTTGTCTTTATTGATAATGTTGGAACCCTCTCTCCTGAGTTAATCGCTGAAATTGAAAGTTTGACGAGATACCCAATGTGACGGGGTCACACAGCAGCTGGTATAACCGGTATGGTGTCGTGTGATCCACTCAGAAAGATCAGCGAATCTGACAGTTGTACTATTGTATCCAGTATACTAGCGGTAATACCTTACATTATCGATTACGTTTGATGGTGTCTATCGTAAAGGACATTCCTCCAAGTACGTGGTAGTTTCTGATGTAGTAACATCAGCAGAACCTGTAGTAGCATTCCTAGAATAGGTAGCGGAATTTCAAAGGTTACTAAGTACGAAGACAAAATTTATTACCGGGAAATAGTTATCCGCACACCCACTTTTTGCGATCCACACCCCTATCATACAGATATTTGTATAGTATTATCGGTGATTGGCTAATAAAGAAGGCGGTTTCATGAGCTAGTACTACCGCCATGGGATGGGAAGAGTTAGAAACCTGTCTGTAAGACTATCTGTGTTCAGGGGTAGCTCCAAGCAGGGGATCTCCTAAGCGTAGATTCTGCTTTCCGGTGGTGATCCGTGTAGGAAGTCACATGATATTCTGTGTTGAAGTTGTGTCTGCGTTTCAGCGGAAGAGGCACATGCAATGAACCGTTCCGCAGATAGGGAGGACTGTTGGGATGCAGGCAAAAAATTACGAAATACAAGAAAGACTCTTTTAAAGCGTAGAAAGATCTTCAAGAAGTAGGTATCGACCAGACTAACAACGCTAATTAGGATTCACTTGTCATTTCTTACCTGCGTTGTATATCTCGTTCCTACAGCTCGGGGTGGACAGAAGGTGACGCCAGTTGAAAGGGTTATATATTTAGTTCTTGCTCCAGCATCTCGATGCATGCATAGAACATGACGCATAAAAGTGCAGACTCTACCTTTTGCTATTCTCTCTTCGTGATAGCCCGTGGGTTACTGATGCACGAGGCTTAAAATCTTGGTGTGATTCTACGTTTGTACCGAGTGATGCTGTCCAGTAGATAGCTGCATCCTCATCTGTACAAATTTTGGTTTGGTACATCGTGGCAAGGATGTGCCGAATGTTTATCCTTACTCTTTCAGCACCCTTAAGATTACTTTGGACCTTCGGCTGAATTTTCTTTCCTGTTAACAAGGGTAGTCTATAGGCTTGTCAGCTAGCACTCACATCGACGAATCGATGCGTATGCTAATCCAACGCTTGTTATCCGGTCCAGTGCGCGGCCAGTTTGTCCCAGAGCTGCAACGCATTTGTTAAATTTCCGGAAACAGATTATCCATGGTATTTTTACATCGTCAGCACGCCAGTACTATTATGCAGCTCTTGTTCTAGTCTCGACCAGCAGGGTGCATGTCAAGTTGTCCAGACGCAACCTGATGTCCTGTCCAGACTTGATAATCCGAGAGGTTATTGCTATGATCCCAACGGCCCCGGAGATTTCCGTAGAACCACGCGAAGTGTAGCTCCAAGTAAACAATTGTAAGCAATAACTTGATTTTAGTCGTGATCTAAGTAGTCTTAAAAGGTGTCAGATCAAGCTGCTTTACGCATTAAGCGAAGGATGACAGTTTGCTCCTTTCCAGAATTTCTAACATTACGTCGGATTAAATTTTTCGAACCCGTGTGGTGGCGGTAATACTAGTGCCTATAACTAGTACGGGTAGTAGATTTTATAAGTATCGGTATGAAGGGTGTGTGCGGATAGCAAAACGTGGGTACGCGGACAACACTTCTCTACAATCTTTATAAATGCGGCTAAAAGTCAAGTTTATCCGTTGTTCCATTTAAGACACTACCTTGTTCAGATGTCTTGATCGCAAGAGTTGAAAGCCTGCACCAAAACGATCACTGTTAGGCATAAGTGCCATGTGATTTCTATAAATCGTTAGTCCCATGAACCCAGAATAGAAGCTTTCAAGCTGGCCAAATACTCAGAGTAGTCTCATCAAGTCTGCAAAGACTTGAATGTTTTAAGTTTGTACCCATTTCGTTTTTTCAGGAAAGAGCTCTTTAAGTCTATAAGCCTTCCTCTGACAAAAGAAGTTAGGGTAGCTTCTCTACACACTCGGAAGTACTTTTAGTCAATTAGCACCTGCTTCTTTTATGCATTACTCTTCTGTAAGGAAGATAAATAAATTAACCGCCCCGAGGCCCAGCAATAAGCGCTGGGAAGCTTAGAGCGTTATTCGGTAGCTCGCAAGTAAATTTAATCCTTGCACAAGGGCCAGTCGTGATTCATGCATGTCTTAATACTTTCATGGAATTGAGTTCACTCTTATTCGACAGTTACACGACCACTTAGCATCTGCTATGCATTCTCGATATGTCCCAATATCCGTTGAAGAGCGTAAGCCTAGCTCACTTAGCTTTAGTGTAAAGACATTTATAGGAAACGAAGGGGAAACCTCATTTTATGGTTTTGAGAAGTGGGAATTGCCATGAGCTCGACCGTGTTCCATTTGAAGCAACGGCGAGTTGACGCAAATTCTGAAAATTGGTGGTTCATCCAAATAGTGAACTTTAACATGTAGCATGTCTGTAAACGAGTCTCACCTCACATGGGACCCTGTAATTGAACTGCCTAGTCAAGCATATCGCGTGCGTTTTAGCTTCTTAGCTACCCGTCAAAGCAAGAAAGAATTTTTGGTCGTTTTCCAAGAGCTGAGAAATCTGATTGTTACCACGCAGCTCATTTCTTTACGGGAACAGGTTCTGATAACAATCTTTTTGGATTGTCTTTGCACTGGCGTAGTCATAACAAAAGTAGTTCAGGTCGATATTACCTAGTTTGAGGCGGCTGTGGATGTCGCTTTGAACGCTGAGTTTATAGTCTAAAATAGCACGTTGTGGTACTAAAAAAAACTATAAGCTCGTCAACCACATTTGAACCGTCTAAAAGTCAGAGCACACGAACCTCAGTCTCGTCAGGATAGACGAAGAAGTGAAGTTTGAGCTGCAGAGCAGCATCAAAATAGTTTTCAATGTTTTGCGTGCGGGAGCACAAATCATCTGCATCGCAATTGCTTCTCCTTAAAGCACGACAGTACTCCTCGACCCAAAACATCGTCTCTTTCTAAAAGCCTTGAGCGGCGCGGAAATCGTCTCTCCAATTAGGCGTGAACACCCTGCTGAAATAAAGTCGATTATGTGGATCCATGAGGAGGTAGTGGAGATCAGGCCTTATCTTTAAAGGTATTCGTTCATTCTGACGCGAAGTGGATATATAAAATAAGCTTATTTGATAGCATGATCTAATGTTAATGGCTTTGGCAAACAAGGTCTGTTCGATTCTATTCGACTCCGGTTCGTCCGCCTATTAAGTGCGATGATGTTCCCTCGACGATAATCAGCAGTATGCAGACGCTTTTAAGCGCGAAAGGGTTATAACATCACTTTTGATCAGCGTCAGGAACCCACGTCACTGTGCATAAAGTTCCTGTGAACTTGGGCTATTTTCTTTCGAATTTTACAGCGTAGACTGCTAATTTATCCATTTTTTGGACTCGAAATATGATCATATCCTTAGCGTAGCCTGCCTTGAACGCCATGAGACATGAATCGAATTGCGGTATTAAAGCTTAGGCGCAACGCGCACTACATTTAGCGAAGCTTCGAAAGTCATGAACACACCTCTAACTGAAATTAGAAGCGCTGTTGACGCGAGCCACTGACTGAGTCTGTCGGTGAGCTGAACGTTGGTATTTCAAAATGGGTTGCTTCTAATGATGTCAAAGACACGAGCATTGATCCAAGATCTTAATTTTTAGTGAAGCGGGTGGTGCTCCGTTGATTAATATGTGTTGGGTGTAACGACACACTGATTGCTTCCAGCAATGCTGATTGAGCGTCAAGTCATAAGGAATTGGAACTACAGTATGAGCGTAAAATGAAACGAAAGATATTCTCAGTAGTTGACGTTGGCTTCGATATTGTTGTTTTATCCCTCCATATTGAAGCTGATGATAAGAACTAACCAGTTCATGACAAAGAGATACTTGCCAAGAAGTATGCTCTCGTCAAGTGTAGCGTCCATCCAGTTGACTTCAAGCCTTTCATCGTCTATACTGATGATGAGACGTTACACACGGTGACACAGTCGCGTCACCTCGCTCAGATATGACTAGTTGAAAATTTCTACATTGCGGAATACAACTTCTGGGTGAAGTAAAAGCTAGGCTAACAGAATGTTCTATCGTAAGCGCTATCCCGCCACCCTATTATGAGCTCTATCATGTAACAATTTATCGTCACTCCTCATGGATTTGATTTGTATGGCATATGCACGATAATCAGTGCGTGACATTGCTCCACGCTCTCGAGTTTGGATCAGTCAAAGACCCGTAAATTCCGCTACCGTCACGTTTACTTGCTAGCCTACATAGATATTTCATCGATCGTGGCCGATGTATTTATGCGCGGATGTAATGTATGGCCCTCGCATTTTCGTGTCCCACGATAAATATTTATAGTATATAATCATCCTAAGGACCATGAATTAATCCTCAATGGGAATTAGGACCAAGAATCACCTACAGCTCTGTGTGTCACTGGAAGTCCGACTTTACAATATGGTTAATAAATATGTGCGCACGTGTAAAACGTGTCAACGGATCAATCCCTCAGCACACTGACCGCGCCGCTCGCTAGTTTACCGTACCCAATGGGGCAAGGATACCATCACTATGCAAACGTGTTCGCCCCCAAAACACAGTAGCGACAACACAGACGTGGTGGTCCTTGGTGACCATTTGAGAGAAATGACTCACTTAGACGCTGAACCAGGATTTCTTCGACAAAAAGGATATATCTATGCTTCTTATCGATCGAGTGTTTTGTCAACACGGTTCGACGGTGGCAATTATCTCTTAAAGAACCCCCTTTTTTCTTTAAAAGAAGCTACGGTGCGCGGTGCGCAGACGGTGGCAATTGTCTCTTAAAGAGACCCCCTTTTTCTCTGGAAAAGAAGCTAACTCTTTAGAAAGCTATGTAATTCTTTGTTCAAGGTGCGTATAACCTGACTTGTCCAAAGAGGATCACTCGCATCTGAATTGTGAAGGCAAGCAAGGCAATCTCTTCGTCGGCGCTGCACTTCGTAGTATGTGTGATAAGTCGCGGAGAATTTGGAGCTCGGTACTTCCTGTTGTTGAAATTGTGATGAACAACGGCGCTCGTAACTCTTTACTTGATTTTACTTGATTAAACTAACACAATCGTGCTTCCCGTTAACGATACCACTGCGTAATTCTGGATCGCTATATGAAATTCTGACGACATGTAACGGGGCACCCTGAAGCTTGTACTGGTGACAGTACAAGCTACTTATTCTGATGACAGAATAAGGCGGTGCCTCGTAACTTCACGTACACTGGTACGTGCAGAGGAAGACGGTAAGAAGAAGCGAGTACTTGGTTAGAGTAAAAAGTAGAACTGTATTTAGTATAGTTAATGTCTGCAATAAATCACTATTTATCTTCATCTAACTATGTCTAAATACAAATGTGTAAATCAGTTATCTGCTCACCACTCATTGCGTGCGTCTGTCGTGGCGCGTCTTCGTTGGTTGATATAATGGCCTATATCAACCAATTAGGAACTACTTGTAAGTGCTACAGAATATTTGTCCTTATGACAATATTCTGAGAATATAACTCTTATAGTTATATTCTATTAACAATTTCTTATAAATTGTTATGTAACGCTTCATCCCGTTACATCACCCCACCTTAACCATCAGTCACTTTAGTGACTGATTGACTAAATGGATACTCGTCCCAAATCATTTGGGACGGGGTTTGCACTTGTTGGTCCGCGTCCACTTTCCAACATTTCATCGCATAGTAAACAAGCCCATGCGATGCGCGAGCAAGGCCGCCGAGAGCGCGTCCGCACGTCTCTGTGCGGACGCCGAAGCAGAAACAACAGCAACTGATGTATCATCGGTTGCTGAAGCGACCCAGCCTGTGTCACTTGGTGATGCAGGCGCTGGTCATGAAGACACTCGTGTCTTCACAGAGTACGATCTCGGTGTCTCGTACTCTCCTGATACGGATGACGGATCCGTATCGACGGCGATTGAATCCAAGCCGTCTGCCAAGCGTGGCATGGACGATGCTTTGCGTCGTAGCATCTTTGGTTCATCTGATGAATCAGATGAACCATCGCCGAAGCGAAGGCGCTCGAGGTCGCGAGACTCGGGCGCTAATAGTGGTGTCGGTTCTCCTATGGAAACCACTTCACAGCGAGGTGCCAGTACTTCTGTCGGCACATCGCAGGAAGAGCGGGACCGCAATGTGTTGCGTCTCGCTCCTGAGAAGAAGGCATGGATGCCTCCGAAATCCGTCATGGATCACTTGTCGGCGACGACGAGTGATCGTTATCGAACACGATTGTTCGATTCGTCAAGGATCCATCACCTTGACCCCAGCGCGAAAAACTATCGCGCTGAACACGAATTCTTCATCGATGCTTTCTTCAAACATCGATGGTACAGTGGGAATCACAAACGTGATGGTCCCTCACTACTTCAGGCGTGGAACGCCTACATCCATAACCTTGAGGATGTAGGTCGTGACGCTTGGAACGACAAACTTATCAAAGCTCGTGATAAGTTTGAAAAGCGAACCCCGACAGGTGCACGCTACAAGCTGCATCGTCTGTCAAGGGAGAAAGGATTACCCTGTCTCTCTTGGGGAGACTCGTGCCCATGTTGTGTGAACAACTCTGCACGAGCACCTAAGGAGGCTTACCTCCTTACCAGCCCGTGGTGGCGCGTACGTGTCTCTACTGAGATGTACGAAGGGATTGACAACCTGAAATCCCTTTACGGCCGTGCCGGGAAGACTTTCTCCGGCGGTCCTTCTGCGGCACAGGATGTGCCGCGTCGTACTGCTCAACCAGACCCATTACGTCGATCATCAGTTGGGAGCGGGGCTCCCAAGAATCCCAGGACGGGGGATAGCCGCGCCACCGGACGAGATAACTCGTCCGACGTCCGTTCACGTCGCGGTGGTTCAACAGCTGCTCAACTAGATAGCGCCGGCCACCGCGAGAGTCCTCTAATGGAGGTGGAGGAGGAGGAAAGACGCTCTCCACACGATCATGTGGATCGGTGTGTTCCCGAGAGCTTCTTTGATCGCGTAACGCAAGGGTTACGCGACGATCTCGAACATGAGCGGAATAGGCGTCTCCAAATGGCGGACACTGCCTCGAAGCATCGAGCTGAGTTTGCCTTTGCTCAGCTCGAGAACGAGAGATCTCTGACATCTCTTCGTGACGAGCTAAGGGTAGCTCGTGGGATTGCTGATCGGTCTCGGGATGAGATAGCTGCTCTTCAGACCCTTGTTGATGCCCACCATCGGGAGCACAAGGCTCTCTTCGAGATGCTTGAGCGCAAGGGCGTTCTTTATCGGAAGAAGCAGCGTACTGATGGTACGGCTTAAGCCGACCAACGTAAAACGTGGGATGCGTTCGCATCTTACGTGGTAACTCGATCGTGTATGCATTGCCTAGGCGGTGCAATACACGAAATGGGCCAATGTACTTGGGTAGTAGTTTACTACTACCCAAGTTAGTCACTACAGGCTTTGGTAGATTAACCGTAGACAGTAGGACTAAGTCACCTTTATTAAATAAAAGAGTGTTTGCCCTTCCATTCTTGTCAGCGTTTTGCTTTTGCTTATCCACCGCTTCGGCGATGGAGTCTTGCACAAAACGGACTACCGTTTCACGAGCCAGTATGAACTCATCTGATGACTCGTTAGCTTCAGTGTGCTGTGAGCGCACTGCAGCAACATCAACCTTTTCTTCAGTGAGGGCTTCCGCACTCTCACTGGGATCATCTTCTTCAGTGAGGGCTTCCGCACTCTCACTGGCATCATCTTCTTCGATATCGATGTTATCGATATCGGCATCAAACGCAATGACTTCTTCGTCAGAGCGTGATGAGCGTGAACCAATTAGGTTTTTGCTCGCGCGAGTCCCTCCCCCCCTTAAACCAGAGTTACACTCTAGTAAGGTGGGTACACGCGGATTGCGCAAGCCATTCACGTAAAACGGTGTATGTGTCGTGGACGCATGCACCGAGTTGTTGATGGCAAACTCTACCATTGGCAAAAACTCACTCCAACTCTTAAAGGAGTGTAAGTATCCTCGAAGTATCTCTTCAAGGACACGATTGGCACGTTCCGTCTGACCATCGGACTCTGGATGATCAGATGTTGACATCTTCAAGCGCGTTCCGAGTGATTTGAACACGGAACGCCAGAAATCAGCAGTGAATCGTGGGTCTCTGTCTGATACGAGTTCACGGGGCAACCCATCAAGTCGGAAGATGGTGTCAATAAAGACACAAGCACAGCCACTTGCCGTGATTGTCTCTGGTACAGCCACAAGGTGTACCATATTGCTGAATCTGTCAACAAATACGAGAATACCCGTATTCCCGCGTGCGTCTTTGGGTAACCCGAAGACAAAATCCATTGAGATGGATTCCCAGCACTCAGCCGGAACCGGTAGAGGCTGTAAAGGTGCACGCAGTAAAGGACTTGACTTCACTCGTTGACAGACTTCGCATGCGCGAACATACTTTCGCACAAACTGATACTGGCGGGGCCAGTAAAAGTCTCGACTCACCGTGAGATATGTTTTCTCACGGCCACGATGTCCTCCTATAGGAGCATCGTGATACTCGAACATGATCCGCAAACGCAGATCAGTATCATCTGGAATGACAACACGTAGTGTGTCACCAGAAACGGCTGTATAATACAGTAAACCGTTACGAGTAGTGTATCGATCTGCATCAGATCGATACGCAGGCGACAATCGTTTCAACGATTCTCGAGATGGTTGGGAGAGATGTGTCAACAACTTCACAATCTCACCATCTTGGGCGTATGCCCGCCTCACATCATCATACAACGTTGTAGATGGGACTGAGGACGTCATAACCGCAACAGTGACTGTCTCATTGTTGGGTTTCACGACTGGTTCAAAGTCGGTCCGACGTGAGAGTGCACCAGCGACGACATTAAGTCGTCCTGGTTTATACTCGACCGAAAAGATGTATTCCGCAAAGAATGACAACCACCGCGCCATTCGTTGTGAAAGGTGCGGGCTGTTCACTGCCGTGCGTAATGACGCATGGTCAGTGTAAACAACGAAGGTTCTATCTCCTAATAGATAGACTCTGAACTTCGCGAGTGCATACTTCATGGCAAGGAGTTCCTTGTCATGCACTGGATAGTTCCGCTCAGCTGGTTGCAGCTGACGCGACTGATAGCATACGACGCGTTCAACGCCTTCAAGATCGTACTGCATTAATGCACAGCCGATTGCAAAATCGCTGGCATCACAGACCACATGAAATGGCCTGTCCTGATCGGCTATTGCTAGGACTGGGGATTGTATCAATCTCTGCTTGATACCCTCAAAGGAGCGTTGACATTAAGCGTTCCATAACCACCTCTCGTTCTTTTTCAACAAACGAGAGAGGTGCACAGTCATCTCGGCGTAATTGCGTGAATACTTATGCAAATACGCCGCTAGCCCAAGGAATTATCGAAGACCTTTGACATCAACCGGCACAGGCCAGTCGGTGATCGCCTTGATCTTTTCGGGATCAGGACCTACACCGTTCTTACCAACGATGCACCCAAGGAGTGGTATTTCGCTTGCGGCAAATATACACTTCTTGAGGTTTGCATACAATTGATGCTTTCGCATGATTGTAAGAACTTGTCGGACGTGGTACCTGTGAACCTCAACGTCCGACTTTCCATCCATAGCTCGACTATGGATGAATACGTCATCGAAATAACTCGGCGCGAATTCTCGTACTGGTCTCAACAGATGTGATACACATCTGTTGAACGTTGCAGGGGCATTACTGAGCCCTTGTGGCATTACTAGCCATTCCCAGAGCATGCCGCTAGGCGTGCTAACTGCGGTATAGGGTATATCCCGTTCTCGCATAAGGATCTGATAGAAGCCATCCATCAAATCCATGGACGAAAAGATGGTACTCTTTGACATACCATCAATGATTACGTCCTTCCTCGGTATCGGCGTCTGAGCCGGTACCGTTGCAGCGTTCAATTTGTTGAACGCGTGCACTATCCGCCACCCTCCTGTTGCTTTGCGCACACAGAAGGTCGGAGAGCTATGTGGGGAAGTTGATTCCCTCACATGGCCCGCTGCTAAACGATCGGCAAAGAACTTGTCGATCGCAAGTACTTGTTCACGAGGCAGTGGCCACTGCTTCATGACACAGTACTTCGAGCCTGGTTTAAGATCGACTTCGTGTCGAATACCTTTATCCTTCGGTAACTCGCACGGAACAGTTTCAGGGAATACATCCTTGAATTCAACCAAATCTTCATAGAGAGGATTTTGCTTGAGCGATTCCCATGATTGGGAGTCATATCGCTCAATTCGTGTCTTTTCATCTAGGACACTCTCGTCCATAGATGAACTACTGAGAACTCTCTCGTTCTCAGTGAACACTGTTGCTGACCTTATGTCGGCTACACACTCGTCGTCAGCGACGAGTACGCAGATCTGCTTGACTTTGCCACTACGCAGATCACGCAAGAACCTTTTATGTTCGAGCGTTGGCAACTGAGTGATCTCAGAAGTTAACTTCGGAGGCGCAATCAGATCAAGTGTATAAGCGCCTACACTTGATCCGTTAGTGACTATGACATTCAATGTCTCTGTCATTTCCTGGGGACTTATTCCCTCAGGTTTCGAAGGACTTATTCCTTCGGCTTCCCGGGGACTTATTCCCTCGGGTTTCGGGGAACTTATTTCCGCCGTTTTTGTATTATCGGGACTTATTCCCTTTACTTCCTCTAGCTGTGGTTGCGCAACCACAGCGAGATCCTCTACGAAAGGCTCTCCAGTCGATCTAGGATTATCGTTTCGCTTAACCTGAGCGATCGATTGTTTCTCTTCTAGATGTTCTCCGCTAGGGATACATCTTTGTCCCGGTCCACTCGACTTATTCGAGTGGTGGACCTTCGGCGCAGCCTGTGTTTCCTCACGGCCGCCGGAACTTTGCTCCGAAGTGTAACCGTTTGTTACACTAAGGTTTTGTGCAGTCGTACTAACGACCGTACCACAAGTGAGGCCATCGCACTCACTCGTAGTACATCCACACGCTTGTGGACGCTCCAAAACGTTCATCAGATGGCCATCTGATGAACAAGCGGCAGGCATCGTTACTGTCCGATGTTGCCAGTTTACCCGTGGTTCGTACCTTCTGAGCCACGGTATTCCAAGGATGACATCAAATTTGTCATCCAAATCCAATACGATAAAGTCATCGTCATATTGGGTATCTTCTAGCGTATAGTGGATCTTCACTATACGCTTCATGACGGTTACGGATGCACCTGTCACAAGACGTACCGTCATCCTCGTAGGAGGTGTGTCACATTCACTGAATTTAAAGTGACCATCTTCTAGCGATTGCGTCGCACAAAATTGTCGGACGCCCCACAATCGACTAGAGCTCGAAGGGACAACTTATTCGTCACTTCGAGTTTCAAGGTAATGAGTGAGTCCTCATTACCTAGAGCAGCAACGCACAACGTTTGTGCGTTGGGAGCAACCTTCATCAAGAGGCCTACGAATTCTCTTGACGTTGCTGGACCAGTAGGGTGCTCCGCGCCTACTGATCCTGACCGTTTTTTTGACGGTCCATCCCGTTGTTGCGTCTTTGCACCAACTGCGGACCCTCGTCCCTGCCCCTTTCTCATGGGTGGACGGTCACTACGCCCAGTGTCGCGAGACACTGGACGAGGGGCACTACACTCGTAAGCGTAGTGTCCTGTCTTTTGACATCTGTTGCATCTCTGCAACTTCTTGTAGCCTGTAGAGCGAACCTTCTCGCTCTCTACATAACAGAGTTCCATCGGCTCTGGACCTCCGTTGTCATATCGTCTCGGTTGACGATATGATGTCGAGCTGGCGCGAGCCTGTCTCAGACTGAAGTCTTCCTGTTCCGCAGCGGAAATGGCTTATTCTAGTGAATCTAGTTCAAGCCGGAACAGGTGAGTCTTGACGGGACCATCCGCAAGACCCTGCATGAACACCAAAACCAACGTGTGTTCATCCACCGGATTGGAGCTTATACAACTCGTGAGATGTCGTATAAGTTGAGCGTAAGCGTGCACATCACGCTTACCCTGCTTGAGCTTCAAGAGTTCGGTTCGAGCCCTGAACTCAGCTCTAGGCGGTTCAAACGTTTGTCTGAGCCGCGACTTGAAGACTTCCAACGACCCAAACGCATATGGGTCGTGCAACTTGAGCCCCAGTGCCCAAGTCTTGGTACGTCCTGCCAGATTTGACTGGGCATATGCAACTTGCATATCCCCGTCGTCGATGCGACGCGCCCTTATGGCGTCATCCAATTCGACGAACCATCTCAAGAGGGAGTCTTCTTCGACCCCCCTATACTTGGAGATGTCAATCTTCAAAGTCTCGGGTCGACGCGAGTGCATCGACCCGCCAGCAGCAGCCTGCTGCTGTCTCAACAGTTCAAACTGTTGAGCACCCTGTTCTCTCAACAACTCTGCTTGTTGAGAACCTTGTTGGTGAAGCAAGGCTACTTTCTCGCGTTCAGCGTCAAGTTCATTTTGAATGAACTTGGCGATAGTAGCATGTTGGGCATCTCTATTGAGAGCCTCTAGCATGACGCTAACAGCATGGATGCCCATGGTCGAACCCATTCGTTCAACCGCATCCCATTCGACATCGCTCAAATGGGAGTAGCCGTCACGCGTAGCGTGAAAGCTTTGGTCATCTTCATCATCCAACATATTCATGTTAGATGTGAACGTGGTCCTTGGACGGACTACGAAGTGCTACCAGGTGTAACGGGGCACCCTGAAGCTTGTACTGGTGACAGTACAAGCTACTTATTCTGATGACAGAATAAGGCGGTGCCTCGTAACTTCACGTACACTGGTACGTGCAGAGGAAGACGGTAAGAAGAAGCGAGTACTTGGTTAGAGTAAAAAGTAGAGCTGTATTTAGTATAGTTAATGTCTGCAATAAATCACTATTTTATCTTCATCTAACTATGTCTAAATACAAATGTGTAAATCAGTTATCTGCTCACCACTCATTGCGTGCGTCTGTCGTGGCGCGTCTTCGTTGGTTGATATAATGGCCTATATCAACCAATTAGGAACTACTTGTAAGTGCTACAGAATATTTGTCCTTATGACAATATTCTGAGAATATAACTCTTATAGTTATATTCTATTAACAATTTCTTATAAATTGTTATGTAACGATTCACCCCGTTACACGACAAGCTTGGTATAATCAGCCCCACCACTGTGCAACAAGAAGTAAGCGAGTCTCTCGCGATGCACCTTAATGTCTTACGACATGTGCGTGATGCAATGAATGATACTCAAGGCGAACATAAATAACAATCTGACGTTCCTCGCAGAGGATACATCTAATTTACATAATGTAGTAAAACAAGTCTTACTAAACGCTTAAAACCTAGCGACAAACATAGTGTCCGCTGTAATCAAGATAACGTTGCATCCACGCTTCATTACACGTTGACAAATGAAGCTGAGAAAGGTCTTGTCTATACGCTAACCCATCCATGCAAGCTGCGCATAAACCGGGTGTTCTCAGTTGGCTATTTGAGTCTGATCCTTACGTCGTGGACCGGAAGGCTCTTACGCCGAAAAGAAGGAAGTTGTCTCGGATAAATGAATATTTGTCAAGCGTTCTACCTGGCCATAATACGATTCGGGTTATACACTACCTTCCGAAGTTTTTGTCGACACGTTGATTTAGCCGAAGCGGCTAATCTGCTCACAAAATTGAGGCAACGTAGCTGAAGAATTTCCATAAGCGCTCTACACTTGATTTGGGATTTGCAAAGTTGTTTTTTCTTTCAGCCTCAGATCAATCCAAGACGATTTGCATTGAATTGAGAGACTCACGGAGGCAAGTCACCCCAGACTTGAGCTCTTCATAGATATTTACCGATACACTTACCACCTCTAGCACGTTTCGATGAGCAAGAGAGCTTGCATTTCAAGTGTTAAAGACTTTAAAGCGGCGAC